ATAACTGTTCAAAATCCAAAAACATTCACGCTCTACTAACTTGATTTCTGTGTGTCATTCTCATTTCTTACATTCGCAAAATCGCAAGGAACAACACAACATGCAAATAAAGGGTCACTGGTGTAACTGTCCTTTCCCACACTGGGAAGTGGTCAAACTGGTTTTTGGACGAACCCTTTTCGCAATAGAAGACGTAAGGACACTGTCTTCCTTGTCCTTTGTCCAAAACTCGTCGGACCTGTTTTGTTATGACAAAAGATATGATGTTTTCGGTAATAATGGTAAGTACTAAGTATTTTATTAGGATGCTGTACTTAAACTGTCAAACACCAAGCGGTCACCGGTGACCGCGACCTATTGTTCTTTAATTGTGTCTATAAAACCGGTACTCGACGAGTTAATTGAAGGTATTGTTATTTGGAGACTGAGATAATCCGGAAAATTGCTAGAACGATAAATCTTCTTTTAAGGGTAATAAGGTTTCATTTATTTATTGGCAATTAGTTTATAACAGTACCTACTTCTCGACTACCAAAACTGGAGTTAATGAATCTTATCGTTCTAAGGAATTTAGGTTTTGAAATAACTCCCCTTGAATATTAGTTAGCTATTGTCGGTATGCGATCGATAAATATCTACATGTGTTAATTTAGTATACACAAAGTAATTTACGTGCTTCAGACATTTTGAAGTATTTTGGTACATAATTGGAGCACAAACAAACTCGCTGTAGTGGTGCCTAGTGAAAGGGAGACAATCGCAGACTCAAAATTATAAGTAACCACTTAACATTTATGGTGTTCCAAGTATGGTGATTTTACTATTTCCTCATTAAATGCAAATAATAAGGCTATCGCTAAAATACAATTTTTAATAATTTTCTCACGTACGTTCTCATCTGTTTAAGTAGCGCATTTAGCTAACAAAAATCCAGTCGTTATATCAAATTAATATTGAGATTAAGAAATATTAAAGTCATATTATTGGTTTGCAAGTCCCTTCAAGTTGAAGGCCTTCAACCCCTATTTGTACATGCAAATAAAGGGTCACTGGTGTAACTGTCCTTTCCCACACTGGGAAGTGGTCAAACTGGTTTTTGGACGAACCCTTTTCGCAATAGAAGACAGTAAGGACACTGTCTTTCTTGTCCTTTGTCCAAAACTCGTCGGACCTGTTTTGGCCATGAGATTGTACGTTTTAATTGTTCTTTATTTTATTATCAATTCTAAAGATTGACTGTTGTACAGAATTTTTTTGTGCAAACAGCCTAATGTTATACGTTGGAGATCCCTGGCGTTAAGGTGAGATTACCGCAAGACAAACCTCTCCCTCAAAAGGCCAGTAACACTTTCAACTTCTCGAATTTTATGAGTGTCCATGGGTAGCGCTTCATACACTTATTTACCATTATTACCTCTACAAATAAGAGTCAAAAGAAGGGAGAAACAATATTTCCATTTTCTTGAAACGTTATTTTAATGCTAGCTTTTACCCGCGGCTTCGCTCGCGTCACAAAAGGATAAAAAGTAGCCTATGTTACATATACCAATACACACAGCGCCATCTATACCAATACTTTTGTTTTTCCTCGGGAATATCAAAAGTACCCTGTTATTTAATCCTTGAAGTCCGGATTAAATAACAATTTTACGTCTGCAAAAATTCAAAGCAATCGGTTTAGTAGTTACGGCGTGAAAGTGGAACAAACAAACAACATCACTTTCCGATTTATAATATTAGTAAGGATAGTGCTTTTACCTCCGAGCTCAAGCAGTTATTGTGTCGTAAGCAGGTATGTACAGGCTTAATAAATGATTACCGCATAACAATTTTCCGAGACATTTAACTTCACATTTTGTGGTCAGTAGTTTATTGTTTGGTATTTAGCGCATGTGTATTGTATGGAACACGGGGCATGTTATTATTTGCTAATTGGGTAGGCATTTAAACATATTGATTACCTTATAAAAATGGTCATCATGCTGCTTAGTAGGTACTAGTACCTACTAAACATTTAAAGAAGTGACTGGTAGATGTTGTTCCGTATTAGGCTTTTTTTTAAGGGGGGAAATCATCGAATGACTACTAGCCAGAATACAGAATAGCCAGCTAGGCTATTCTGTAGTCGCGGAGAACCTAACGGGTAACCGGGGCTCGACGTGCAGGAGAAGGAACGGGGTGGTTTTTAGTCAGTAAGAGTCTGACACTTCCCCCGTGCCTCACCCAGGCGGGAGTAGTCATTCGATGATTTTTCCCCCTTAAAAAAAAGCCTTATATTGTCATTGAGAGACGTTTCTAGGGTACCGAACACATGTTCAAAGGAGTCCAGGTCCAGGGTCCAGCTAGGCTATTCTGTAACTCTCAATTTGAATTTTCAAAGTGAGCTGGATCGCGTTCTCGCCCTTCATTGGTCGAGATTATTCGAACAACCAATGAAATGGCGGACCACGAACGAGTTCACTTCGATATTTGAATTGAAAGTTACAGATTAGCCTAGCTGCCCCCTGAGTAGATGGATAGTCGAGAAGCCATAATGTGGCAACGTAAGTAAGTACTTATTTGTGTAATCACTAATTAGCCCAAGTCGACAACCTAAGAAAAAAAAATGACTATGTATTTTTTGCATTAGGTAAGCTACAATAGACGTGAATAGAAATAGTTAAATAATACCAATCTTTCAGAGGACCAGTTACCTCATTAATATTATTTTTCAATGCTACTGGTATCGTGGATCATTTTTACCCATACCAGAAAATTACTGTTGTAAGTATACATTTGTTTATGGATAGATATAAAAATAAAAAAGTTTTTTTTTTACAAAATGGTCTTCGTTCCACTTTTGAATATTTAAGTTGTGTATGAATAATTTGTAAGATAGGTACTTCATTTTTAGGCATTTTTGAAAAAAGTGGGTACTTCGAAAAAAAAACCAATACAAACGCAAGAAAAAGTCCAGCAGAAAGAAATTAATAGCACTTTTCATATCCTCTTGATAACAAAAATAACAGCAGCAACAGACAAATACATTTCCCATGAAATTAGCTTACAATAAAAAAATTACAACTAAAATCAAAATGACTTACAAACCATCGAGATCACATGTATCTTTTTGCTGCCTGTACCATCCGAGTTATAATCCTTCAAGATCTTTAAAAAATCGCCAAAATGATGACCCAAAAAAGGGGGATTTCAGTCTTCTGTGTATTATTTGTACGAAGTCTAGTACTTGAACTGACTGCCTCGTTGGCCGAGGGCGACTGCCGGGCAAGGGGTCTCGGGTTCGATTCCCGGCTCGGGCAAAGTATTAAACTGTCAAACACCAAGCGGTCACCGGTGACCGCAACCTATTGTTCTTTAATTGTGTCTATAAATACGGTACTCGACGAGTAGGTTTTATAAAAAATCTCAGTACTTAACAGCACGGAGTCTAGAATTGTACCCGGTATATGGTAATAGGCTCACCCCTACTACATGGGACTCATAACATAAATAGTGAATAGTGGGTGTATTGTACAATGGCATAATGTGTAGGTACCCCTGCGTACACCTTCGGGGATAAAAGGCGTGATGTTATGTTATGTTATGTCTAGTACTTGAATGAGTTTCTTTCAATTTATTTATTTTATTCATTTACATATATTTGTTACAAAAATATTCTGATTCATCATAGCCCTGATTAATCTATCATTTACAGAGCTTCCCATTGTTTTAGAAATATTACCCAAAAACAAAAATTATAAAAAACGTTTCAGTACCTACCTACCTAATAAAAGTAAGTATCCAGGGTCAAATGTGACTCAGCCAAATAATTTTTTTAAAGCCACTTTGCCCCTTTCTGTGGCTTGCGATGTATTGAGAATATGTACCAAACGCGCCATTGTATCATAAAAATCAAAAGAGAATTACCTGAAAATGATAACTTCTGGATCAATTTTGACCCATGATAGGTACCAGTTTAAGGGTTAATATAGCTTTTACTAATACGTAGGTAAATTGGTATCTTGTCCTAGTGGTCTGCGAATTGCTTTATTCATACATAGATAGAAGACACAGTTCAATAAAGGTTGAGATGTCCTTGTCAACTGCCTCTGTTACCAACAACCCATGAATCGATAATCTTGTTAACGCTACGTAAGTAGGCTAGAGATATTATGTAAGTACAAAAATAAGTAGGTACTTAGATAATCTCATATTATTGGCTTGTAACTTTAAGGGCTTCTCTTCAGGTTATTAATGTTGATAATATTTCAGAAAATCATGTTTTGTTACGTTTACGGTTTTACTCTTGCTTAGTAAAAAAAGTAAGTAATCTTTAAATTTTTTCTTTATACAATGTTTTTTTTTTGTTGAAAAATATGCGGAGAACACACGACCGGACCGTGGCTGAATACTACAACGCCTTTGCATAATCGTCTTTTATAATCATATGCATGGGGTACCAAATAGGGCGGGGAAATACAAAATCCTTTTAATCGAGTAACAATAGAATATGCAAATCAAATGTAACTTGGATTGCATCTTTAGTCGGGTGTCAGTGGTGAACAAGACGTGGTTGTAGATACTTCGATAAACAAATTGTGTAGAAGCGGGAGAGTTTGAAAAGTAAAGAATAGTTCTGGTGAAGTTTAATTTATTATAAGGATTACAGAAAGGTACAGATTTTTTATATACTTAATTACTTATTCGAATATTTTATAATTACGAGAATACAGTGTGTCAAAAATAGATGATTACTTGATACTACAATTTTAATTACCTAATTAAACTGAATGATTGAGTACACAACATCTGATGAGAATGACATTACAGTTTAAATAATTATAAAGGTGCCAACGTGTTTTTGTTGTACTGATAAACATTCGAATATTCTATTTTGTCGATATTAATGACATAATATGAAATTCTGTATTAATAACTTGCTTAATTTCATTTTTTTGTATTTTTTTTATACTTTTTTCGTTTTTTTTTTTGTTGTGTAATTATTTATATTCACACAGCTTTTACTCAGGCTCGTTCATTCTAAGACGGGCGAAGTCTTCGAATACGATATTGTCTTCCTCCTCGTTAGTATAAAGAGAGTTCTCATAGCGATGTCGTTCGATGGATTGCATTTTCTTCATCGCATTGAAGCGCTGACGTTCAACAGATCCTGAGAATTAGAACAAGTGTTAGCTTGAATTAAAAAGTCTAACGTGATTTGTATACCTTGAGAGTAACTACCTTCAGCCGGGTGAAGCAACTTGAAAGGCACATCAGTAACGAGTTCTCCACCAAGAGTTCCGCAGTTCAGTTTGACCCTTACAGAGTAAGAGACAACGATACCAATGGCATCAGCTGGGCACTTCCCTTCAGGAACGAGAGTAGAACTGGCCAAATTAACATCATCTTCCTTCAGGTGTCCATCCAACGCCACGCCTGTTCAATAAAAATGTTTTAAACTATCATAAAACAAAGTAAGTTTATAAGCAAGAGTGAAAGTTGCTAAGCACGTACCACGAATATCCTTATTGCTACGAGCCAAAGGTACCAAGTAGAATGTTTTGGACAGACTGGCCCCAGGTGTGACGGGACATCCTTCACGGCTTTCCAAGGAGGCAACGTGGCGGCTGAACTGAGAGTTGATCATAGTAATCTCGACGTGCTGGACAACCATTGCGCGAATGTTACGAACAGACTTCCTGGAGTTATTGGAAACGATGACGTTCGCAGCAACCTTCTCTCCATGGTAGTAAATTTCTCTATCCAAGGTAACCTCCAAGTTGATTTTTCCATTGCTGAAAGTGAATCCTTTGCTCACGAGAGAGCTTGGGAGACGACGTCCGCGGGATGTTGGTGCGTGTTGCAACTGTAAAAATCAACGAAATCAAATAATGATTAATGAAGACAGTTAATCAATTATTTTTGGGTTGTCTGTAAATTACCTTCTTGATGGCAAGGGTGACTGAGCTCCTCTTGTGGCTCTTCTGGTCTTCTTGTTCAGCCACATACGTCCTGACGCAGTATTCTACGCCCATGGGCTTGCCTTGATCTTCTTCAGAGGGCTGCAGTGTAACCTAAATGCGAAAGACTTTATTAGAATCTATTATTCCCTTCCCAACTCAAACTCAAAAGCATTTATTTCAGTTAAACCATAATTTGGTACTTTTGAAACATCAACAAATATAAAGTAAATAATAGTCTGTCAGTCTGTCCGTCAGTGACGCTAGGTGCTCATTTCAAAAAGTAAGAACGAGAAAGAAACTCCATTTGTGACTCTTTTCAAAAACTGAAATGTAGTCGTAGCTGATGTAATTTACCGAGCTTGGGGCCAATTCAGGGAAGTTGAAAGTAAAAGGGAAAGCGTGGGGTCCAAGCTTCTTCAATAACTTCTCCTGAACGGGAGTCAGTTCCATTTTAGAGTTGATCATTGGGACAACTTGTTCTTGGCCGATAACCATTTCCTTGGAGAACTTCAATCCCATCACTTCATCTTCCTCCCTACCATAGCGGTACGTGGTTACGAGCTACAAAACACATAATTCGTAATTAAAACATTGGTTGTACATAACGACACACGCACACACACTGCACTTTTTATATTTCACTGAACACTGCACCTGACTATAAACTTTTCTTCCTTTCAGGTATTCCGTATCCACTACCACCACTCCATCTACGGGATCGCAGTAATCCATATGATCAATGAAGTCACGCTTGCCAAGGTAAACCGTAACTTTTCCATTTGGAGTAGTTTTCTTAAATACTTTTACTGCAACCACAAACGCCAAAGCAAAGTAGTCCAACATCTTGTTGGATTTTTTGGGAAGGGATGAATAAAGGGAAGTTAGATGAAATAACTATATTCAAGTTGTTATTTGAATCAGCTGAGTGTGGAGGTTTTGAGGTGTTCACCAGAAATGATCATGTTAAGGAAATGTCGCTTATATATTGGTGACATGTGAGGTTTCATGCAGAACACGTTAACCGGCTAATTGGATTTCGTTCGTAGGCGTACTAATAAGATTTAAGCTATATGACGCATACCTACTCACATTGAAATCGATTTGATGTCCCCTCACTAAGTTCGGCTAAGAAATCGTTGAATTAGCGAACGTCAAAATTGACGTTTGTTTTGACAGTTTCTAAAGGTTATGAAGTGTTAAATGAGGATTAAAATATTATTTACGCAGCGAAAACTAATAGGATTCTGATAGGATTTGACCTAGATACACAAACTGGTATATTAACAGTTCTATGTAAAGCAATGTGACGTATTGGGATCAAAAATCGTAAGTTATAATGACGATGTTTCTATGGCTTTTTGTTACATATTTTACAAAATGTTTTTTTATTTTTATTTTGCAGTTATACTATCAGCATGCCAACCTTCTTGACTCCTGGCCGGCACGGCTACAGCGTTCGGTTTTCCCGGACAAGGCCGGATACCTTGGCTGTTGCGACCAGCCAGTATTATGGTCTTGCAGGAGGTGGAACTCTATTTTTCTTAGAGCTAGCTCCTGATGGAAGCACCATCATCGAAGTTCAGAAACTAGAGTGGAGCGATGGGCTATTTGATGTGGTAAGTTTTATTTTATTACCTAAAATCGGGTCCATAGGTTACTTTAATTGATAACAGTTTATTACTTTAACTCTTGCCTTGAATTTACATTACAATCATGTCATAAAAAGATAAGAAGGTACTCTCCCTAATTCATTTCCTAATTGGAACATTTAACAACAATACATTTGAGAAACCATTGTTCTCAGTTAGTCCAATAAAATTATCTGTAATCATATTTCATTCATTTAAAGCAACATAGCAGAAATGATACTCCAATCAGGGTATCTATTCTTAGCCCTAAAGGTAAACAAGAATATATTCATAATATAAGTCCTGCTCACAAAAAGAAGCCCTTCAAGTGAAACCTAGGTACATCGGAGTATTTGCATCATCATATAATTGGCTTACTTTGGTGTGTTGTCATTTATTTATTTATAGACAATTGACTTAAGTTCCTGGTTAATTTAAGTGTAGGATTTATCATGTAATTGTTGGTTACATTTGACACTTTGTAATTCAATTAATTTAAGAGTTAGAAGTCCTATAAGAAAGATTTATGATAGTTAACATTGAAAAGTAAATGTGTATTATGTACCATCTAAATTGTGGTAGTTTTTGTAAGTAAGTTATACATAGCAATAGGACTCCACAGGGCAATGTGTTGATAATTCACAATAAATAGTTTAGTGTATAGCTAGCTTTGATTTACACGCTTCCATTTTGTCTTTTTAAATTGACCTACTTGTAATAATTGTAACATTTACATTAATCAATAATATTGTTAAAAGAATAGTAGATTAGTGGATGGCTTGAGAGTTAACTAAATTGTAATAAATAGATATGAAATGTAGAAAATGTATTTTGTTATCTTTTGAGTATGTTTAGTACCTAGAGGATAAAAGAAATGAATTCTATTTATCTGTGTAGCTCCAATTTTGTTGATTATTACTGGGCCAGTACACAAAAGTCTTAATACATAATGTTTATTATTATTACTAATTGAATTACTTATGAGTTTACATAACATCATCACACCTTTTATCTCCGAAGGGGTAGGCAGAGGTGCACATTTCGGCACTTAATGCCAGTGTACAATGTAACACCCACTTTTCACTATTTATGTTATGAGTCCCATATAATAGGGGGTGAGCCTATTGCCATATACCGGGCACATTTGTAGACTCTGTGCTACTACTGAGGTTTTTACAAACCCAGTAATACTTTGCCCGACCCGGGAATCGACCCGAGACCCCTTGCCCGGCAGTCGCCCTTGCGACCACTCAGCCAACGAGGCAGTCCTCCAGGCAGGCATTAGCTCCAATTTTGTTGATTATTACTGAGCCACTATACATAAGGCTCAACACATAATGTTTATTATTATTACTAATTGAATTTCTTATGTTTACATTGATTTTATTGCATTTGTGTAGTCTACAATTTGAAAAGATTTACAAATGCTTATTCTTCATTGACAGACATGGTCAGGCACCACAGAGAGTGCAGCAGCGTGTGGTGCGGGCGACGGCGCCGTCGTAGTGTGGCGGGTCGGCTGTGCGGCCCCGCTGCGGGTGTTGAGGGCACACACCAGTGAGGTGTGCTCCGTGGACTGGCCAAGGACACATCTCTTGAGCGCTAGCTGGGATACTACTATTAAATTGGTAAGAGCTTGTATAAAATAATATGTAGTTATTTAGAATCAATACAGATAAATAAAATTGGAGTGTCTGTTTGTAATATTCAATTAACCGCTGTTTACTACATACATATGATATGCATACCAAAATAACATAACATCATAACATCACGCCTTTTATCCCCGAAGGGGTAGGCAGAGGTGCACATAGAAGTAACACCCACTTTTCACTATTTATGTTATGAGTCCCATGTAATAGGTGGTGAGCCTATTGCCATATACCGGGCACATTTCCAGACTCCGTGCTACTACTGAGTTTTTTTTTAAAAATCCCAGTAATACTTTGCCCGACCCGGGAATCGAACCCGAGACCCCTTGCCCGGCAGTCGCACTTGCGACCACTCGGCCAATGAGGCAGTCCAAAATAACATTTTTTACAATTTTTGTCTGTCTGTTTATTTGTACTGGTTAATCTCTGGAATGGCTGGACCGATTTTGTAAGACTTCTATTGGCAGGTAGCTGATGTACTAAGGAGTAACATAGGCTACTTTTATTTTGGAAAATTAAAACATTACATGAATGAATTTTCACTGACAATTGAAGTACTTTAATTTGGAACTTTAGAAGTTTATATTAATTAAGTTGATAGTCTATAGTTAGGTTTATTTATGTATGCTAAATGTAGTGTTTGTAAACCATAGAATACTACAAAGAGTCATAAATCCAACCTCCTTTTTATTTGGACAGAATTTTGTTTCAGAATATGTTAAGTGAAAATAATAAAATATCATTTTGACTATTTCAGTGGGACCCTGAATCGGAAGCCTGCCTCAGTACTTTCGTGGGTCATTCTCAGCTGGTTTACACAGCTGCTTTCTCTCCTCATTCGCCTGCCACCTTCGCCTCGGTATCAGGAGACGGTCACCTCAAATTGTGGACTTGTACTGAACCTTCTAGACCTGCTGCAGTTGTCAAGGCTCATGATGCTGAGGTAATTTGAACTTTATGTTCTCTTGATGAGATATGTTTTACTGTTAAGAAGCTTTATTTTTGTTTTAAATCTAGGTACTTTTTAGTGTGCATCAGAACATTCTAAAGAAGAAATATTATGTGTTTGTTTAATCTAGCTTAGAAACTTCTTATTGACATTGAGCTACGACTTTTCTAGCAGAATAATCTATAGAATTTCTCTACATAAATTTTGTTTTCTTGTAGGTGTTGTCCTGTGATTGGAGTAGAACGGAGTCACATGCTCTTGCCACAGCTGGTTCTGATGGTCTTATCCGAGGCTGGGACCTGCGAAGACTGACATCACCCATGTTTACACTCAAAGGTAATAAACAATTAGAAATTATAAGCCCAGGTTTCCTCACAATGTTTTTCTTTCACCGCTTGACAGTGGTGTCTAAATAATTTTGGAAAGTACATATAACTCGGAAAATGTCACATTGGTACTTGTCGGTGGTAGGTTTCGAACTCGCAACCACATGCATATGTTATCAGTCCCATGTAATAGGGGGTGAGCCTATTACTATATAGTCATATCATAAGTAATAATTTTAATGATAGATATTTATTGTATTATTTTAAGGATGCGAATGTGCAGTAAGAAGAGTACAGTTTTCCCCTCACGCACCTTCCATATTGGCGGCTGGATCCTACGATTTTACGACAAGGTAAGTTAACTTTACATCTTCTGGATTTGTTCTTTGAGTCATTGTATACTATATTGAGTGATCAAGTGAAAAATAGTGTTATTAGAGAAAAGTGTGGATTGAAAGATGATGTAGTGACAAGGATTGAAAAGGGAATGTTACGCTGGTTTGGACATGTAGAAAGGATGGATGAAAGTAGAGTAACGAAAGAAGTATACAGAGCGGATATGAATGGGGCCGTCGGTAGAGGGCGCCCTAGACGGAGATTAGTAGTAATTGGCGTTCCATAGTCTCTGCCTACGCCCATGGGAGGCGTGAAGTTATGTATGTATGTAATTAAATGCTCTTTTTCTGTAGGTACATTATAATTTAAACCCGTTATATATGAAGTCCAACTTCATTAATGTCTATTTCTTATTTTCATCAGGATATGGGACCTCAAACGTGGCTGCGAGCCTCTAGAAACGATACGACATCACTCTGAGTTCACATACGGCTTGGACTGGAACGCGCTGAGGCCGCATCAGATCGCGGACTGTGGGTGGGACTCACTAGTCCACGTCTTCACGCCCCGGTCTTTGGCCTGAGACTGTAGTCAATGTAAGTAGATCATCATTATTTTGTATGGAATTTACATCCTAATTCTATCTGGATTTATATATTTTTTGTAATTATTGAGACAAATCGTATTTGTCCTACGTACCTAATACCTCCTATATTGTCGTAAGTTTACTAGAACATAATTTATAGAGCTGGGAAGAGCGATTATTCTAGGCCCATAGTAAGTTCTTCCTGTCTTTCGAGGTGTTCAGAAAATTGACAATTTCTTTGTTTTTTCCATTAGACATTAGTATTGTTAAAGTGAAATTAATGTATTGGTATAATTAGTTAATCTAAAACTGTCTAAATATTTGAATTAAAAAAAAATATAGGTTGGCTTTTCTCAAATGTCAAACATAAAAATTCGGGTCAATATAATTATTTATTCTACTTTATATGTATCTTTTATACAATTATGTTTATGTGGGTTTTTCAATCATGTTCCAGGATCCATTGGAACGTCTGTGATTAAATAGAGTGTTTGTGGAGGAATCGTGCCAAACCATTGTAGTGTTTATTGCGAAGACAATCAGGGTTATAATCGCTTGCAAGCGTTCACTCGGTGCAGGTAACGGTGAACAGGGATATTGTGGTTTTTGGTGATAGACAAGATGTGTATTGTAAATTATTCTTTGTTACTATTGTAGTAAGGTAGTGGTTTGTTTGAAGTGTCTATGTTGTATTTTAACATTCCTATTGGCATATTCTGTGGAGCTTGTCATTACAATTATATGTTTATTCTGTTGTTGTTTCGGAATTATTGAGGAAAATGTTCATATTACCTACTGCTTGACCAAGGATTGGTTTTAGAAAATTTCATAATGCAGAGAAATCAATAATGATCAAAGTCTTTTAAATCCAGACCATGCATAATAAAGTAAAGAACATTCTTTACAAAAGCCTCGAATGTGATGCAGACTCGTCACTTGATCTCATAATTTTTAATGGATAAAACTTTTGCTATAGCTACTCCCGATACATAGCCTCTGAGGCCCTTGTTCTTATTGCGATAAGGCTCACCTCTATGAATGTTACATTGTACATATGTACCACTCAATATAGGTTAAAATAGACATGATCTTATGTTTATGCATTTGGACTTATTGGTAAATATTGTGATATTGTTTAGTAAACTCTTTCTTCAATGTTCCCCATACGTTTTATGGTGCGTTCATATTTGACACACATGTCATTAGGCAGTGCTTTTAGTAATTAATAACTAAACTACTTATAATTATTACATCCTGTATAAATAATTTTATATGCAGACTGATTCTAACACGGTGCATTTTATTTTAGGCTTTATTTTTACTTACTGACAGTTAGTAATGGCTTGTACTTATTCGTTACACATATAACTTTCCGTGTTTTTTATTTTTTAAATTTTTATATTAGTTTAAGCATATAATTTTATTGTGATGGTGATACAGTCTCCTTTGAATTTTCAATATAGTTTATGATATTTATGTTAGTCAAATACCTATGTGATGAATGAAGGTAATTCTTTTATACCAATGGAAGTGATAAATAAATAAAACGAAACGAAATATTTCTATAGTGCATAAAATATGTCTCGTATGTCAGCAACATTTGACGCACGTTGCACCAACACAAATAACAAGCCGCGCGTCATGTTGCGATGTCGATGTTCCATTGCAATGTCAATGTTGCGTTGCAATGCCGATGTTGCGTTGCAATGCCGATGTTGCGTTGCATTGCCGATGTTGCGTTGCAATTGCGTTGCAATGCCGATGTTGCGTTGTAATACCAATGCTGCGTTGCAATGTCGATGTTGCGTTGTGATGTTGCGCAACATTGTGTAGCGCTGCAAAATGTGCTGAGCGCTGTGTTGCGCGTCAATTATTTGTTGCATAGTAGATACGAGCCTTTATCCTAGACAACACAATTTTTAAATGAATTACTGAATGAACTATATAGGAGCTCTCTAGTGGGGATTTACTAATCAATTTGATAATGTCTTTATTATAAATTAGCAATTTATTGCGCATAGTTTCGTCTTATGTTTTTTTTTAGAAACTGCAATCGATATGCTGCTCTCAATACTTTAATCGCAATCGAATTATTATCGATTTATATTAGTGTTTTTTCTATATCTATATTTTGTATATTCAATTGTAAATATTCAGTTTGTATATATTTTATATTTACTAACTATTGTATGATATTTCTGTATTAAAAATGTACCAATCTATTATATTGTCTAGCTTGTTGTTATTGAATATTGTATAGTATTAACTTATGTTTATTCCTGATGAGAAAAGCCTTGTTTTTGTGAGTTTAAACAACTTCTAATATTGTAAATGTCAATATTTATTTATGACTCCATTATTAAGTATTTGTATTACTTTCTGAAAAGCTGTAGAACTTTATATGTGTTACCTATTATTGGTAAATTAATATGAATGAAATATATTACTTAATACTTACTATAAATTAAGAAACTGTAAAATAATTGCTTTCAATTTTATATATAAATGTAATCATCGAACAACAAAAATAGCTTGATAGAATTTCAACAACCTATATAATAAGCTTGTAAAACTTGAATATCCTGTTTTTTCATCTGGTTCGTCACCAACTATGAAATACACAGTTAAAATCTTTTGCTACAGACTAATTCGTAACAAATAAAACAGAATAACGATTAAAATTGCTAAGATTTTTATTTAACTTATTGGTAAGCTTTTTTATCACAATACATTGTCAAATATTAAAAAAAATTGCTATGAATCGCGCTTGCTATGAACTTGTTTACAGAAATCAAGTCAAAAGACTACGACTTTATTAGATTAAAAAACTTAAAACAACGACATCTATTGAAAACTTCAAGTACTAATTAGAAACAACTTGAGCGCTTGCAACCTCAAACTTACAACAGCGACATCTAGTGACAACTAGTATACATTGTGGGTGCTTAACTTGAGCCTTCTCAATCTCCCTTCTATTGCGGATAACATGTAATAAACTGACTTTAAATTAGTCTTGTCGTTTTTACAAATATCTGTTAGGCTTATTGCTGGGGAAAGTATGCAGCAAGACATGTGTCTTGTGGGTTTGCAATAAGGGTGTTTAATCGTCTGGCTGGCTAAAGCGGCGCGACCACTTGGTTTCATTGTGCAGGCTTCGACTTTAAACACTGGTAAGCAAGCAGTTTGTACTGGTTCCTCCATAGGTTGCGCTAGGTGTCTCGCCACTGTTAATAAAAGTAAGAGTAATAGAGAGTTATCTTAAAAATGTCTAGATGTACTTATTTGTAAATCAATCAGTCACATACATAACATAACATCACGCCCTTTTATCCCCGAAGGCAGAGGTGGACATTACGGCAATTAATACCACTACAATGTAACACCCACTTTACACTATTTATTTTATGAGTCCTATGTAACAGAAGGTGAACCCGTATACCGGGCACAATTCCAGACTCCGAGCTACTACAGAGAATTAAAAAAAAACTCATTTTATTATGCCCGGCAGTCGCACTTGAGACCACTAAAATACCACTATAAAATAATAAATCAAAATAGGCTTAGTTAGCATCAAAATTAAGAATTGCCCTCAAACTGTGAGTTTGTATCCACTCACAGATCATGCAATAGGTTTCATCAAAATATTTCTTAAATTTTAATTATAACAATATAGGTAAGTAACGAAAAATGGGGTGGATAGGGATCGAGAGGTGAATAGAGACAAAATAGCGGTGAATAGATATTGGGAAATTCGTCAAAGTATCGATTCACCCCTCTTCTGTCTCTATTCACCTCTCGATCCCTATTCACCCCATTTTACCGTACTTAAAATTAAACTCAAACTCTTTATTTGCATGTTAAGGTAATACATACAGGTCTTATGAATTAATCAATTAATTAATCCCCCCATTGGGATGAAAATTGGCATCTCAACTGTAGGAGCAGTGAATTGACCAGTACTACCTAACCAGTGGCCTCCTATTGTTGAATAATAGGCCTTCTCTACATATTAGGGATTACCATAACCTCCACGCTTGGCAGACGAGCTTGAGATCACAAATAGAGCGTACGTACAGTTATTTTTGACACGACCCAATTGTTTCGTAAGCAAGTCGCTGTAGTAACGACATGATGTAACCAGGTGACTCCGCAGATATTCATCAAGACCTAAAAAGTAAAAGAATAGCTTTAAAACCATTATGAATGGAGATGGTTGCTTTTTAGCCGTTTGTTCTGATAGCAGAGGATAGATGGCGGTAGTTGTCTAATGCATAACGTATCAATTCGTATTTGACATTCCCTGTTAACATTTTTGTTTATGCCGTATCGGGCCTAGATAATAATAATAGTTGCTGTAAAAATTTCACTATAAGGTTTATGTGTGTGTGAATGTATTATTTAAACACCCACATAAATATTTATATTACAATGTACTAACGACTTTGTACTCACTAGTAGGTTTTTCGTTCCCTTGAGAATTTTGAGGAATTCTCCATTAGTACTCCCCTACAATCCCCAAGCAACATACATGCCAAGTTTCTTTCTATCCAGTAGGTTCAGCTGTGAGTTGTCTATCAGTCAGTCACTCAGTAACGGAAGCGTTTCATATAATTAATATTTAATATATAAAAATCTCGTGTCACAGTTTTCGTTGCCATACTCTCGCGAAACGGCTTGACCGATTTTTATGAAGTTTTTTGTGCTAATCCGGTATCTATGAGAATCGGCCAACATTTTTAATTTCTAATTTTTTTATGATACAACATACAAAAATACATATAATTCTCAATTTTTACCCTTCTACGAAATCCTTATCCTTACTAATATTATAAATCTGAAAGTGAGTTTGTTTGTTTGTTCCACCTTCACGCCGTAAATACTAAACCGATTGTTTTGAATTTTTGCAGACGTAAAGTTAGAAGTCTGGATTAAATAATAGGGTACTTTTTATCCTGGAAAAATTTGATGTAACCATATATATTATATTTGTATTGGTATAGATGGCGCTGTGCGTATTGCTATATGTCACATAGGCTACTTTTTATCCTTTTGTGACGCGAGCGAAGCCGCGGGTAAAAGCTAGTTATTTATATGGCAAAACAACGTTTGCCGGGTCAGCTAGTAATAATATAGAATAATATAGATACATCTATGTATCTACCATCTATGTATCGTGCTTACCTTCTATAGCATCATCTGCCACGTTGAAAAAATTCGTTTGAGTGAGAGCTTTTTCGTCGTTTTTAGTGACGCGGTATAATGTGCAGACTGAAATGATTGTAATTATAAATACAAATACCATTTATTTCTATGCTAATAATGACTGCCTCGTTGGCCGAGTGGGCGCAAGTGCGACTGCTGGGCAAGAGGTCTCGGGTTCGATTCCCTGGTCGGGTCGGTTACTGGGTTTTTAAAAATCTCAGTAGTAGCACGGAGTCTGGATATGTGCCCGGTATACGGCAATAAGCTCACCCCCTATTAAATGGGACTCGTAACATAAATAGTGAAAAGTAGGTGTTGCATTGTACAGTGGCGTTAAGTGCCGTAATGTGCACCTCTGCCTACCACTTCGGGGATAAAAGGCGTGATGTTATGTTTTTGTTGCTAATAGTGTGTAGTATCACCAAAAATTTACTTATAAAATACTTAACAAGATTTTTGCCCAAATACTGAAAGGTTACAAAATTTTAAGTTATACACACGGCTACATATCGAGATTCACATAACCAGTATAAACTGAACGTTAAATGTGCGGAAAGATGATGCGACGCGACACCAGGATAAACTGGTTTTGTATAGACTGATGTGTGGCCGCGTGTACCTACTTGAATAACTTGCCATCTCTGTCTTTTTACAAAGAATTAGTAGAGACAGAAGACTTAAGTCTTAAATTGATTGGCGTTTGAGTATTTCGACATTTTTAACTATCAAAAAGTTACAAGGTCTCGTGTCAAATCAAGTTATGCCCTGACTACACAAATTCTCATAAGACAGGTAGTTTTTTATACCATAAGCCGGTAAACGAGCAGACGGATCACCTGATGGTAAGCAATCGGCGCCGCCCATGGACATCATCAAGGCGTTACAAGTGCGTTACTGGTCTTTTGGGAATTAGGAATTTAAGGATTGTGGAGGATTCTGGGATTCGGGAGACTAGAACCCGGTAATTGGGCCTCCGGTAACTTCACTCACACGACGAAACATAACGCAAGCGTTGTTTCACGTCGGTTTTCTGTGAGGCCGTGGTATCACTCCGGTCGAGCCGGCCCATTCGTGCCGAAGCATGGTTTGCCCACACTTAAAATAGGTACAGTAGTAAAATAATTTTATCTGGAATATGAGCCCCGGTATCGCTTGAAACTATAGAGAATTATTGTGATAAAACAATTAATGTTAAACTAACGGTTATTCCCATGAGTGCCTCTATCGTTGCACGAACTCTGGTGCCCCAGGAGACTGCAGGGACGGTCGTCTGAAGTAACCACGCCTGCTGACCTTACGTCGGGAACCTTTCCTGCTTCGACCTCTAGATGGAATAAAGAGAAATCTAAGACTTTTTTTATAAATATTAAGTGTTTTTTAAATACCTAGAGTATAAAAATAGAGAAGAGCATTAAATTACCCGTTAATAACCTTTAATCTGAATCTGAACTGACTCGAAACTGATGGATTTCTGTATTCTGTAAATTATTGAAAAAATCAAAAGCTGAGACAGTATCTTACACCCTTACCTACCTAAATATTGACATTACGAATTCAAACGACGACACTCGTTGGCAACCCTTTGTCAAGCTGTACCCAAATCAAACAGAATTTTCATGAAAGTTAGGTACCTTAATGTAGTAACAAATTACGATTAAGTACATGCGTACATATAATACGTGTTTTTTTCTTTTTTTTTAAATGATGAAAATCATCGATTGACTGCTCCCGCCTGGGTGACGCGGGAGGGAGTGTCAGACTCTTACTGACTAAAAACCACCCCGTTCCTTCTCCTGCACGTCGAGCCGGAGCCCAATACGTGTACGACGCTTTCAATATATACCTACAGATAAATAAAAATGGAGTGTCTGTTTGTAATATTAAAATAATCGCTTTTGAATGTAACAATAACTATGCATGTGAATATAATACATACGATATACAAGCCAATATAACATTAACAATTTTTGTCTGTCTGTCTGACTGTTTGTACTGGCTAATCTCTAGAATGGCTGAACCGATTTTGACCGGAGTTTTATTGGCAGGTAGCTGATGTACCAAGGAGTAACATAGGGTTTTATTTTAGAAAATTTAAACAAATTAAATGTTACGTCCTTAAAACTCAGATTCTACGTCCGTCTTTTAAGTTTTTTTTTTTTAAGGTTGGAAAATCATCGAATGACTGCTCCCGCCTGGGTGAGGCGGAAGGGAGTGTCAGACTCTTACTGACTAAAAACCACCCCGTTCCTTCTCCTGCACGTCGAGCCGGAGCCCCGGTTACCCGTTAGGTTCTCCGCGACGTCCTTTGAGTTTAGCCCGGACATGCATAAAGACAAACAGACAAAAATTCAAACACCTGTATTTGTCGATTCGATGTCGATTGTAATTGTAAATCACACCCTGAGTATTCTTTTGAAAAATATTTAATGTACCTACACATTTTGATTTCTCTACGATTTTATTACTGTACTTATACATTATATTTTATTTTACATTTAAAAATAATTAAATAGCAGTTATTGGTGTTTAAAAAGAACCATTTCTGTTTAGACATGAAAAGACTGATGACTGTTGATGAAGCAAAAGAAATATGCAAGAATCGTAGCAATTCGTGTTCCATAGTCTCTGCCTACCCATGAAAGACATGCGTGAAGTTATGTATGTACGTCTTTCTTTCTGTTACATAGAACTGACTGCCGGTAAGGGGTCTCGGGATTGATTCCTGGGTCGGGCAAAGTATTACCTACTGGGATTAAAAAAAAACTCTGAATTTGGCACGGAGTTTGGCAATGTGCCCGGTATATGGCAATAGACTCACCCCCTATTACATGGGACTCATAACAAAAAACAGTAAAAAGTGGATATTACATTGTACAGTGGCATTAAGTGCCGTATTGTGCACCTCTGCCAGCCCCTTCGGGGATAAAAGGCGTGACGTTATGTTATGTTTGTGAAAATAGATCTTTTCATATCAAACTCCTGTCTTCTGTCTACATTCTCTACAAAGTTTTATTATTAGAATTTCAGAGAAATACCAAAATGAGAGCAAGGCTGCCTCTTACAGTCCTAATCAGTAACGTCTTGTGTGGTTTCAGTTTCGACATAGATATAAACTTTATAGTTATCATTAATTTAATTTTCATATTCAAATGTGGGTGAACATTTATGTATGTCGAGAATAAGATTGGAATAATAATATTTTCAAGGATAATAGTAGAATGTAGTTGTCGTACGTGGCCTAGGTTCAATCCCAGGGTACCTAAATCAAAGTATAAATTATTAGCAAAACATGGAGCCAGGCTTAGAATTTACGTATGACAAGATCTGTGTCTTGTCTAGTGAGAAAATATTTTATATCTATGTTTGGTAATGATCCAAAATGGACCAATAATCGAGTTATACAAATGATGATAAGCATAATATGAACGTTAATATTTTTTTTTTACAATTTGCTTCTAAAAACCGACTTTATATAAATATACTAAAACCTTCTCCTATACTCGGACTTTTAATTCGATTCCAGATTTGACAATTTCAGTGTTGCAACGTTATGACAAGTACTAAATAGTGACGTTGCTAAATTATTCGATATGGAAATGCAATACTTCTGGATCGATTCTTCTCGTTTATAATTTTACTCTCGTAAACTAAGTATATCAGGAAATTAAATATTTCTGAACCGATAATTTAGTTTTGACGATTAATTAACGATCTGAGACTTTTCTTCTATAATTGTGTGTGAAATAAATAAAAAAATGTAATCATGAAGGAACATGACAAATAAAACAGATAAATGTATTATGGTAATAAGTTATTTTATAAATTGTCGCAGTCATCGCTATCGCTATCCTGTCACTTTCTGTAACATTTATTATAAAACACACACACTGATTGTTTATCGATTTTTGTGTGCATCACTACACTATTTTATGTGGTATCATTATTTCACAAAATGACAGTAGCTATTGTCAAATCTGGAATCTAATTAAAATTCTGACTATAAGTGTAATGCTTTGTCGCGGAGAACCGTTCGGGTTACCGGGACTCCGGCTCGACGTGTAGGAGAAGGAACGGGGTGGTTTTTAGTCAGTAAGAGTCTGACACTCCCTCCCGCCTCACCCAGGCGGGAGCAGTTATTCGATGATTTTCCCCCCTTAAAAAAGATGCTTTGTTCGCCCTGGGCTAGTATTTTAGTCGAGTGACGTGTACATATTTAGTAGCCTTCTCTCGCGTCTGTCCCAAAATCGAAGCGACAGAGAGAGCTACTAAAAACTCGCTACTTGACTAAAATAGTAGCGCAGTGCGAACAAGGCTTTTAAACATTTTTCTGAACACTGCATCAAAATCGGTTCACCCAATCTTGAGACAATCGCGCACAAACATATCATATAGAGGTATATGCGAATCAAAATGAAAACCTCCTTGTAAACTAACGTGAGACGTACTAAATTAAGTAAAAGCGAGTGTTACTCACGTGATTATACTTAGAAAAGCTCTACTAGTTTCGAACACAGAGGGGTTCTTCCATTCTTCTTCTATCAGTGAGCTGCGTGACGTCGCCGCGACCGCGCACGCAGCTCATGAGGAAGAACCCCTCTGTGGTTCGAAACTAGTAGAGCTTTTCTCAGTATAATCACGTGAGCAACCCGCGTTTTTACTTGAAAACCTCCTTATTAAAGTTGGTAAAAAAAAAGAATCTGACCTGCATCGATTCTGAACACATCACTGTTTCCTCTGTTGGGTTTGTTCGAGTCGCTAACCACCAACTTCGTGGTCTCATACAAAGCCTTGTAAACTGGAAGGAGAAACAAAGTTAATTAGTTTTCTTATTAAAATCTTATACAAATATGTCAACATCAACAGCCTATTAATAAGTGACCACTGCTGACCAAAGGCCACACGAAGGTTTGAACATTAATCACCACGTTTGCTCAATGCTGGTTAGGAATTTCAAACTTATAATTAGAAATTATAAGCCCAGGTTTCTTCACGACGTTTTCCTTGATCGTTTGTCAGTGGTGTCTAAATAATCTTAGAAGTACATATTACTCTGAAAGTCACATGGTACTTGCTTGACCATAGAAATATTCGAAACGAGTACGCGATCGGCACTCTGATTGGTGGGCGCCAATAAACCAACCAATTAGAGCGCCGAACGAGGTCTCGTTACGAATACTTTAAACGTAAGAGAAACTTGTACTAAGTTCTCTGGTCAATAATAAACCGAAATCAGTACGCCTTACAAAAATTAAAAAAAAAAAACATTCATAAAATGCACTTCTTGGGCCAGCCTTGTAGATTCCTCCCATATAATCTTTAGGTTAGAAAGTTCTAGTCTTTCTTTCAAAACTTTGTTCTAAAGCTATTTCATCAAAACATAAACAAAATCATACTAGGACAACTCTGTCAAACACGCAAAAATATCAATTGCGTAGGTACTCCGTCTACCTGTTTTGCCCTGATCCTCAATACTCCTATTTTGTCCTTTTTCACAGAAAAACGCAACGTATTCAAGCGTGACTACTCCAAATATTCTATTCACAAAAGGCATGTGTTTTGTACACACGGCCACTCATCAATCTATACAAAACCAGTTTATCCTGGTGTCGCGTCGCATCATCTTTCCGCACATTTAACGTTCAGTTTATATTGGTTATGTAAAGCTCGATGTGTAGCCGTTTGTACATACCTTGTAAACATAATGAACATCGTTGATTCTTTGCCAATGCTGTTTCTTCCTACCAAGACTTTAATAAATCAGTTCCTGAGCACAAGAGGGCGTACCCTGCGGTACTTACCCGATGATAAACGGCAAATAACATAGTGTTTTGACGCTTGTATTCAGTACATAAGTGCTATTTTCCCTTGTCCTATAATACTATGGTTCAATGGAGGTTGACAGAGCTTTTGTTGTTTTGTTTACTTGCTTTGTATATTACTGTCTATCTAGGTATTGTGTTTAATTTAGTAGTTGATCTCAATACAGAGATATGTGCTTTAAGGTAGTAATGTTATGACATTAATTCATTTATCACGCATTTGAACGAATAGTCAAAGTTTGTTTGTTGATTTGTTGAATAGTTATAAAGCCATCTCTTAACTGGAAGAAGTTTGAAACTAACCTGAGTCGAAGATAAATCGACTGCACGAGGTCGTGATTAGGCCCTTTCGATCAATGATCCTATTAAAGAATATAGTTATATCTTATACTATTATATAAAGCGGAAGAGTTTGTTTGTTTGTTGGTTTGAAAAATTCTTTCGGTGTTGGGTAGCCCATTTATCGAGGAAGGCTATAGGCTAAAAACATCACGCTACGATTAATAGGCGCCGAGCAGAGCGAGTGAAACCGCGCGGAAGTAGCTAGTAATTAAATAAGTTCTAACCTTTCGGTGACAAAACTTCTGCAATGCGTACGCTGGATTTCCGTTGACTGCGCATTGCTCGCATCGCGCACAGAGATGTCAGCATACCAACGGAATGATCTACAACATAGTACACATACCGTTTCAGATTTAATACTGAAATTGAATTATGTTATTCGGAGACAATGCTGTGCTCCCTACATTAGCAAATTGACTCGATTGAGTGATTTATTCTTTTGTTTAACTTCTAGTTTTCAAGGGAAATGTCCTGTTTTACTGAGTTATTTGTCTCGACGAGCTACTTCTGTTATTACTATGTCTAGAGACTTTGAATTGTGACTTTTTAATGATCAAATTCAATGAAATGCAGTCTTAACTGCATTACGTGGTTATAGTACTACGACGTAGTAAGTATAATGCAAACGCCTACGGCGTAGGCCCGTTTTTTATGAGAAGGGAAAAATCATTCAATTCGCCCGGCTTCTCTCGCCCGGGTGAGAGAGTGTCAGACTCTTACTGACTAAAGACCACCCCGGTCCTACACCTGCACTAAAAAAGGCCCGTTGTTACTACAACGGCGTGGCAGATACTTGTTGTATTTACAAGTTACAGCTTATTTGATTCTATTAATAAATTATGGGTAAAAACCCTTACCCACTCGTAGTCACACCAGATTATCACATCAGTATGACAAACAGGATTTTTTTTCTCGTTTGTCACACCACTTATTTTTCTACACTATGTATACGATAATTACTAGTGCAGTACCTTTACATTCCAATAAAGTCGATCGGCGTTTGCCGTCTTTCGTTCTTTGGCGAGTTTTTAATATTTTCTACTTTTAATTAATAAATAGGTAACATAACATAACATCACGCCTTTTATCCCAAAGGGGTATGCAGAGGTGCCCATTGCGGCACTTAATGCCACTATACAATGTAACACCTACTTGTTCACTATTTATATTATGAGTCCCATGTAATAGGGGTAGCCTATTGCTATATACCGGGCACATGTCCAGACTCCGTGCTACTACTGAGATTTTTAAAAACCCAGTAATACTTTGCCCGACCCGGGAATCGAACCCGAGACCCTTTGCCCGTCGCACTTGCGACCACTCGGCCAACGAGGCCGTTTAAATAAATAGGTACTAAAGCTCTATGTGGATGTCCAGTGGTTCATATGATAATGCAACCTTATCTAGTAGGTACTGGCCGGTTGTAAATGCAATGCTTGAGTTAATGATCGAGGACGCTTGATAGTTTTCGAGGATACTCGAAGGTGATCGAGGACACTCGAAAGTGATCGAGGACGCTCGATAGTTTTAGAGGATACTCGAAAGTGATCGAGGACGCTCAAAAGTGATCGAGGATGCTCGATAGATTTCGAGGACGCTCGAAAGTGATCGAGGACGCTCGATAGATTTCGAGGACGCTCGATAGTTTTCGAGGACGCTCGAAAGTGATCGAGGACGCTCGATAGATTTCGAGGACGCTCGATAGATTTCAAGGACGCTCGAAAGTGATCGAGGACGCTCGATAGTTTTAGAGGATACTCGAAAGTGATCGAGGACGCTCGATAGTGATCGAGGACGCTCGATAGTGATCGAGGACGCTCGATCGATTTAGAGGACGCTCGATAGATTTCGAGGACGCTCGATAGTTTTCGAGGACGCTCGAAAGTGATCGAGGACGCTCGATAGATTTCGAGGACGCTCGATAGATTTCGAGGACGCTCGAAAGTGATCGAGGACGCTCGATAGTTTTAGAGGATACTCGAAAGTGATCGAGGACGCTCGATAGTGATTAAGGATGCTCAATAGATTTCGAGGACGCCCCAAAGTGATCGAGGACGCTCGATCGATTTCGAGGACGCTCGATAGATTTCGAGGACGCTCGATAGTTTTAGAGGACGCTCAAAAGTGATCGAGGACGCTCGATAGTTTTCGAGGACGCTCGAAAGTGATCGAGAATGCCCGATAGATTTCGAGGATACTCGAAAGTGATCGAGGACGCTCGAAAGTGATCGAGGACACTATAGATTTCGAGGACGATCGAAAGTGATCGAGGACGTCCGATAGATTTCGAGGACGCTCGAAAGTGATCGAGGACGCCCGATAGTTTTCGAGGACACTCGATAGTTTTCGAGGACGCTCAAAAGTGATCGAGGACGCTCGAAAGTGATCGAGGACGCCCGAAAGTGATAGATTTCGAGGACACTCGATAGTTAATTTGATTTAAAGGTTTGCAACATGTGTCGATACCCTTCGCCATCTCATCTTCTGACTACGGCAGGTTGTGCTGGGGCGGCTGCCGCAAGTGCAGAAACCCTCAGCGGCACAAATATAATAACCTTATCGGAAATTACATGCGCTTATCGTGTTGTTCGAGATATCAGTAAACGTCGACTCTTCGAGTGACCAGAGGGCCGGGCTTTTCTTTTGTCAACGAATCAGCATTGCCATCCAACGTGGCAATGCTGCCAGCGTTCTGGGCACCTTTCCCATTGAGGTAGATAGGGATGGATTCTTTTATGTAGTTTACTTTTCAAACCAATTGATTTCTCTTTTCGCCTTAAACTTAATTATAATAATTGACGCCCTATGAGTTTTTTTTACTACCTGTTTGTACATATTATTACTATACATAGTTAGTTTATTATTAATTTATGTTACACATTTAATTAAATAAAGGCATCAATTTAATAAAAACTTGATAATTTGATGATTTTTAATTTAGCTCTAGGACAGCACTAGTTAAGAATAAATGGTGTAGAAAAATAAGTGGTGTGACAAACGAGAAAAAAAATCCTGTTTGTCATACTGGTGTGATAATCTGGTGTGACTACGAGTCGGTAAGGGTAAAAACTTCTAACTACGTCAGGTTTTCTAACAAATAAATTACGTATTTTAAATAATTTCATTCACCACTGTCGGCTGTCGACTCGATCTGAACTTGGGCGTCGGCGCTTTTTCTGTGTGTCGCGCAATGAGGCTGTCCATACACAAACACGCACTCTGTAACATTCATGCAAAGAACGAAATACTAGGATTACAAGTAGAATTAGTGTTTTCTGCAGTTTCAACAAATATCTTTTGAATTGTTCTTATAATAACTATCAAAGTCAAAGCATTTATTTCAATTGATCTACATATAATTAGGCACTTTGAAACGTCAAAAATTTAATTATATCGTGGTGAGACATAATAACTATCGTGAGATATATTAAATTAACTAAACTCAACTAGTTTCGAACCACAGAGAAGTTCTTCCTCATGAGCAGCGTGCGCGGTCGCGGCGACGTCGCGCAGCTCACTGTGAGCTGAGGAAGACCACCCCTCTGTGGTTCGAAACTAGTAGAGCTTTTCTCAGTATAATAACGTGAGTAACCCGCGATTTTAGTTAATTGTAAGACATACGGAATTAACTAAAAAATATTTACGTAATTTTCAGTTAACTTCTATATTATTTATTATTATTCTATATTATAAGTATGTATGTTAATGTGGCTGTAAGTTTAGGAATGCTAATATGAACGGACATGAAAGTTGTCATTTGTGAATAATGTTTAGTAATTTAGAGCCTAGATAGTTGAGCAGATTTATATAATAGTAACTACCTTATACAGGGTGTCCCTAAAGTCGACGATCAAATGGCACCAAGTGATTGGAAAAGATATAAAAAAAAATATTAAAGAAACTCAAAAAAGCCAAGTCTTTCAAATCAATCAGGCAAATCAGTACCCTTTAAATTACAATTACTTATGTGTAATCTACGAAAACAGACAGCCTGTGCCAATCTTTTGACTCTTGTTGCTACAATTATTTTTTTGTCTGAATTTTTGGTTACTTTATTTTGAATAGTGCTTCAGTTTTCCATAATACTGCTGAAGCACTCCATGAAGTAAATGATTCCATTATCATAAATTCTAGGCCAAATGTTTTATTAAACATTTGGCAAAAATGGAGTACTTCTATTTCTATTTGGTCCACAGCCATACTAAGCATTTTCAATTTTAAACTCAAGCCTTAAGGCAGCTTTGCACTTCAAGTATTTATAAAAAAAAACTTAAAAAAGTAAATATACTTTACCGTTGTTGGAACCGTGCCCGGGAAGCAAGCTCCCAGAACAGGGTGAAGGAGATGGTAGAACACATTGAGTTGTCAGCACACAGGCAGATTTCCGTGTTTCCAGCAGTGACTCCGTTCCTACACCCATTAGAATATCCATCACTATCGTGTAAGCCATAAGAGCGTTTTTAGAGTTCTTTGTGTTTCATTACGCATGAAAGTACCTAAGTATGTTTGACCAAGAAAATTTTGAGCTGAAGTAACTCGTTATATGAATTTTAGATATGAGCATTTTCCTACAATTTATGCCAATGTGTCTACAGAAAATTTAATACTAATTTATCAGATCAATCAAATTGCGTAATGAAACACTCACAATTCTTAAAACGTCTCAAAAAACTAATAATTCAAATAAAATTATGAAAACAGCCCACCTATTTCTTACCCTTCGTAAAGTTTATCGATATCACATATGGTTTACCCTTATAATTACTGTCCAACTTTACTATAATACGGAATTTGGAAGGCCTGGATCGACATGACGAGTCTACGGAGAAATTTTCTAGTATGACTATATGCAGGGAAGAGAAAAAATATTCCAATAAAGGCAACAATGTACCTGTTTCGCAAATATCTGGACAAGCTTGAAGTATAGACTCTTTGACATCTTTGGTTACAAGGATATTTTCATCTAAAATTTGAAAATCGTCTTTGATTTTTACTTTGTATTTTGTATTAAGTACTTGATTATCTTTAGAGTGTAAGGTACCTGATGTAACTTCATCAATCATTACAGGGTTCACAGTGATATCGGTGTCATTATTTTTAATATAGCTTTTATTTTTCAGTCTGCTTATGGGTAGTACGTCCTCTAGACTGTCCTTTGATAAAGTTATTGTTGGGGGTCCTGTAAAAAGTTCATTAAATGTACACATAAGGCCAGGACTACAATCTCGCACCAGCGACCCAAAGATGAGGTACACTGCAGTTTTATAATGAGAGTACAAGAACATCTACTTTAGAATAACAACAATGTATTCCAGCCTCGTCTCGACTCGCGTCAGAGTGTGGTGACAGCATATGAACAATGATAATACTTGTGGCATTATGTCCGCCTTTGACATTGTTAGTGCATCAAGTTAAATAAATAAATAATACTCACCGATTGCAATTTTGTCGTTCTGTACCTCATCTTCGTCAGAAATGGTCATTTTTGGGTACGCTGTAATAAGAAAAAAAAATGTACTGGCTTTTCATACTTTTTAATAATACTTCTGATTAGATGCAGATAAAGCATACATTCAAGAAGTTAAGCATTTTTAAACTACTTAAATATATACTTAATCTGTCGTGAAATTAGTTAAGATTAAGGGCTCAGTTAAGAATAAATGCCCATTTTCACACAAACCTTCCCTAAATTTTAAAGAAACCCTAACCTAAGATAGAATTTAACGTCATTTTGGTTTTCAAAAACAAGTATCAGTAACAGTCAATGAAGGGGATACCTACTTTAGGTGCTACGTCACGCTAAGAAACGGTTAATTTAGAGATGGTTTTGGATGGAGATGGCAGGTTTTTACCAGGAACTGTTCTTATTCTAAAAGAAGATATTTCCTAATGATGATAATGATGACTAAAAGTTTTATGTGTGAGCAAGTACAGACCATTTCTCATAGAATGACACTCATTCATCCAATTCTCGGCAGTCATGTCACTGCAAAATGGCGTTGAGAATTGTGCGAGTACTGGCGTACTGATTGTAGAACTGTGTTTCTTCTTGCCCATCAATCGGGATAGGGAAGTTATTTGCTTTTTGATATCTATAATATAATATGTATTATTCAGATATTTATTTATTGAAAATGTACATATACAATACCACAGCTTACGCCATTAAGTTATACTGTTAATCTTATTTAAGTTCTTAAAAACAAACTAATTAGGTAATCAAATACAAGAAATAAAAATTAATACAATAAAGACACAAAATTAACAAAAAACAAAAAAAAACTATACATTTGAATAACAAATTTGAGTTCATGAACCAAATTGTTCGAAAATACGCTTTGTGCTACCAGGCTAATCATTTTAATTGGTCTGCTTAGGATTGATTTCATTAACTAAACTTTATAGTATTTTAATGGTAACTTAATCATATCTATTATCATATAAAACTTAAATGCTACGTATATACCGTTTTCACGTTGAGTCTTTGAAGTAATCGGTTTGTTCAAAGTATTGTAACTTGGTTTGATTGACTGCCTGAATTCTACGGACTTCTGACCAGACTGACGCGTGCTCAAATTAGCTGTTAAATAAAAAGAAAATTATTCTTAGTCCAAAATTATCTAGAATAGCTCAATTCGGAAGCTTAATAACATATTACAGAACATTTGCCACGGCGTAGGACATACCAGCTATAACACCGCAGCAAATAAACAAAGCGTTACGCCATACAAAACGATCCATTGTTAAAATTTTGTTAACAAATTAGTAATTGTATGATTTTTAAATAATTTCTCTTGTGTGCTTACTTGGGTTTGTGTCAGTGTCAGTTTGATTATCGGAGCTCATATGTGAGGAAATGGACGCAGGTTTTTCTGTGGACGCAGGTTTTTTTGTGGACGAGCTCATATGTGGGAAGATGGACGCAGGTTTTCCTATCGATCCAGGTTTTTCTGTGGATGAGCTCATATGTGAGCAGATGGACGCAGGTTTTTCTATGGACGCAGGTTTTTCTATGGACGCAGGTTTTTCTATGGACGCAGGTTTTTCTATGGACGCAGGTTTTTCTATGGATGCAGGTTTTTCTATGGATACATGTTTTTCTATAGACTCAGGTTTTTCTGTGGACGAGCTCATATGTGAGGAGAAGGACGCAGGTTTTACTATGGACGCAGGTTTTTCTATGGACACATGATTTTCTATAGACGTAGGTTTTTCTGTGGACACATGATTTTCTATAGACGCAGGTTTTTCTGTGGACGAGCTCATATGTGAGAAGAAGGACGCAAGTTCTTCTGTGGACGCAAGTTTTTCTATGGACGTAGGGTTTTCTGTGGGTAGAACAAAAATGTAAACAAACATTTTTCTCTACAATAAGTCTTATTAAATAGATTTTAAATATTTTTATAAGAAGTCGAATCAAAATGGCTTACCAATACTGGACTTTAAATGTGAGCCCGCCTGCTTGAATGAAGGTTTTTCTGGTGGAAAATGAAAAATAAATGAAAAGTTTTTCTAAAAGCCAGTAAAACTATTATACAAATATTAAATTTCATATAAAGTTTTTGTAAAATGTGCATACCAATGTTAGATATGGTTTCCACTTTGAAAACGGATACTGCTGGTACTTGTATAGATTGAGCTTGGCCACAGTATGACGTCATGATTGAGGCGGATTTGTTGGGACCCGGTCCTGTGGACAAATTAATGGTAATGTTGTCTACATATTATTCGACTTTACTGTAGACTTTACAAAAAACATCTCAACTAAGAAGTTTTGCCGAAATCCTGTACGTATTTCTGTCTAAGGAACACAATATATGTAGTGTAGATTGTTAAAGAATTAAAATAAATATCAGATAGTCTCATAATTCTAAGCAAAATTATTATATAATAATATTATTGGTTGTATTGACAGAAAACAAATATTACGAGTTGTTTAATCACAGCTAGTAAAACAGCTCTTCAAGCAAGCTTTTAAAACCCAATAAATCTTTATAAAAATGTGTAAAACGATAAAAATTAATGTCACATAAGCGCGTCATTTCCCATATAAGCGTAATGCTTCTACGCCATTACACTCAATTGTAAAGGGCTTTCGGAATAAATGCTGTGAAAAATCACCTAACAACCCCCTCTTGCAGAGTGAGGCATGAAAAATGTATGCCGTGGTGACATTTCGTATGCGTTTATGTTTATTTAAGAAATATTGTGTTGTATAGTATATTGCCTGCATGCACAAAATAATAAAATGTGGTTTTATTATATACTTATAATTTTTTTTTATGTTTTTTATTAGTAATATTTCTGCCGCCATCTTGTCTATGGCGCTCACAATTTATGACAGTTTGTTGTTAAAATGTTCATTAACGTAGTTAATGATTAACGAAATCGATATAAACGCTTCGAATTAGATAAGTTAACACAAAATAAAATAATAAATAACGAATTACTGCTAATTTCAATGAACTATCATAATCCAAAATCTGTCGATATAGATCGATTATTGACAGTAGTTGTACGGAGTTTCTGTCAAAAATCGATCTTAATTCACATATTTTGGATTACGATATGTTATAGAAATTGGCAGTTAGTCAACAAATGTCATTTTGATAATGTTTGTTTGCAACGACACAAAACTGACTAACGATACGCCCTATTAATTAAAAAGTGTACAAAATCTCCCAAAAGAATTTTTTTGTTTGAGAATTTCACAAACAATATTTTGTTTTACAACGCCAAGGTCATATTTAAAACATCTCGATTTTGATGTTACTTAACCTTCTTACATAATATCGTAATTTTACGAGTTGGTTCAGGAAACCAGGGTTGTCATAAAATGAGTGAAGTGTTTATACTTTTATACTCGCCATCAAATTCAGTTTGTGTTGGTAAATCGCTGGCCTTTTGGTTCACTGTGCACATTGGTACCTGATTTTGCCATTCACTTGTTAAACCTGAAAGGAAGAATGAAATAATGGAAGATAAAAGAAAAAGAAATGAATTTATTATGCTACTAGTCTTCTGCATCGTCCTCTAAATTGACATGAAAAAATGAACTAAACTGCAATCTGGCTAAGAAACTAAAGTGGTTTCCAGATAGGATTTGCTTCTCAGTTGTGACGTACTTAAAAACTCTGCATACTCATCAACCTACGCATCACATCTGCAGAAAATTTACTAAAAATCTACAGGAAAATCTACAGAAAAGTGTCTGGAGCAGAAGAATAAATTATATTAAGGGGAGTTAGATCTAGAAACTTGCAGCCATTAAAAACCTATTGTATAGTAAACATACACAGTTACACAACCTAGCCTAGCTAAAGTAAGATGACGAAACAAAATATGGGGTCAACGTGACACTGAAGGCTTGATAATAGTGGTTAAGGTCCGCCATTATATTGATTGAATGTCATTGAGTACGAAGGAGCACAATAAATCATGTCTGCTCGATCTATCAACGTATTTTGTGCCCAATATATTGACCATAAGTACACAAATAGAAACAAAAGCCTATTTCCCGATCACTTCATCACATTGCAATTTTTTATCAATATTTGCTGTAGCGATGTGAGTAATACTAGTTATTTTAAGATTAGACTGATTAGAATTATATTGTAGATAGGGTAGTCCTTTGGGTTATCCTTAGTAAAATTAGATGTTTCGTTTTCGAAATTCTCTACAACATACAAATGTATATAGAGGTAAACTAGTAGGATCACCGTCTATGTAGAACCAACAATTCCTTTAATGACATTGTAATATAATATTTAATTCCTTTCATTTTTTTATAGAATAGGAGGCAAACGAGTAGATGGATCAACTGAGGATCGGTAAGCGATCAGCACCATCCATGGACATCCGGAACACCAGAAATATAATTATAATATTACGCAATATTAACTTTGCTCCTAATAAGCAACTTTGTTACCATCATTCGCACCCATACATCATTCTGAATGTTTGCAAAAACCCGTAAACTAAGAATGATATGTCCGGGGAAAGTAATTACACTGTCATTGATCAATTATTCCCGATGGGAGTATTCTGACCTTTGTCCTTCCAAAGGTCAGGATCGCAGAGTTATAGGCGGGTGTGAGCAAGAGTGTTTGATCGTGGAGTAATGAATAGGCCCGACCCTTATTACATGGGACTCTATAATATACTCTGAAATGTGAATGGAAAAATTCGATGACTGCCGAGTAAGAGGTGAGGTCAGATCCAGTCCAATGATGTCAAATTTGATGTACGGGCCTAAAGTATAATTGTGTTTATGATTTTCATTATCAGCATGGCGTCTGAAAATGTATGGCGGCAAGCAATAGACTAGACTGTAGGGAACAGAAAGTGAAGGTCCTAAAGATCGGAAAAGGAGGCATCACGCCTGACGGGCTACTGCCCACAGTTGTCACATCGAGGTCATCTCACCGTCAAGACTGGGGGCGTGAGATCGCGCGCAACAGTTGATTGTTGAGATTTTCTATCCATGTTTTATCGAGTGCAAACTTCATTTGCACGATGTAGGATTTTATAACATCATCTGTCGATTTGGCGGCGAATCTTTTATATATGTCGCCAAAAGACTACTAGGTCCTAAGCTAAATGGGGCTCATAATTTATAATAACTAAACTGGCGATGAATCGGTATTGCTTTAAAAACGTAATATAATAATGCAGGACGGCTAATTAAAAGTCTATGAACATACTTGATTCGTCTTCTAATTTCTCACTTTCATCTGGAACTTCCTCTTTATCGGTGTTATCTTCTGCATATTGTATGCCAATTTCAGTTTTGCACATGCCTACGAATTCGGTTATCTCCGACATAGTGGCACCTATGGATTTCGTTTCTAGACCCACGTGAGTATTGGTGCTGGTCGTTACATAAACCAGTGGTTGGTTCTCTAGAAACAAATAAGTAAATTAAAATAATATGCAAAGGAAGTCCCTTACCATTTTATGTATTGTTTTGTCTTACTTTTGATAAAGTTTTTATTTCTTTTCTCCTTGCCGGTCGAACGTTGCAAGTGCGAGTTCCGAGCCCTCGATTTGAATTCTTAAGTAGCGCATAATTTTTTTGAGTTTTTCGATTTCGGGAAATTCTGAGTCTGTGGTTTGGGCGCCTGGAATTTGGTGCTCGATATGTAATAACTCGGTCGCAATATTTATAATTGGGAAAACAGTATGTAATATTTCATTAAGTGAAAGAAAAGTGGCTAATGATGATTTATTTATTTATATTACATTACTGCACGATTGGCACAGTGGGTGGGTGACTGGCTTCAGTGCAACGTGTCGGCCAAAAATGTGATAATGGCATTTTCTGAATAAAATTATCATTATTAGCCCGGAGTCAGGAGTCAGGAAGTTCGGCGGTGTTTCACCCCGGTGCCTGGAGAGCACGTAAAGCCGTTGCTCCAGCGCCTGATCTCTCACTGGTCGTATCGGTCTGCGGTCTTATCAGGTTCAGAGTTCAGGTGCACATGCGTTTGCATATACTTGTGCACTATATCACCTGGGTAGTGGGCTAGTCTAGTTAGAGTTGCCACCATGATGGAAATCGATCGGGAGATTTATATATATTTATGATGATGCCAATGATGACAATGTATGTGTCTGTAACTTGAAATAAATAAATATTATTGACTTACTGGTCCCTTCTTTCCCATCAGGCTGCATCTGAAGTGACGTTTTTCCCATGAGAGCCTTCTTAATCAGATTGTTCAGTAATAATTCTGAAAATATAATCAAGTTAAAAACTGGATAAGGAGCAGAGCAGGGTATAAACCTGAGAGTCTTTAAGGCCCGAGTGAATAGGTTACTTATGGGACGACGTGCTCCATCGTAGATTGCAACATCGCTTACCACCAGGCGAGATAGTGGTCAAATGTCGGCCCACCAAATGTAAATAAATAAATAAAAGACGGGTCACGGATGGAACATGATCAGAACCCTTGCATATCTAGCACACCAAAAGAATTAATAGTGCGTTGTTAGCCTTTAAAGAAGGAGGAGGAAGATCGGCCTTCCTGTAACCTCACTCATACGAATGCGAAATACAACGCAAACGTTGTTACACACCGGTTCCCTATGAGACCGCCGTCTCTAATCAAGACCTTTTAATTGACCACTCTAAAGTATTTACTCAAACAGTGTTTATAAATGAATCTGCTGGAGTTAGCAAAATAAAATCAAAATATGTAAAAAACTACTCGTCTATCTTACGTGTTTCATAATAGGAATCCATTGCTCCTGCCGATGTTTCTCTGGTACAATATAAATCTGTGAATTTGACGTCCGTGCCTGTTGATAAAAAATTGTGACATTATAATAAAATAAACCCCCAGTGTATTTAGGCTTACATTAAAAGTAAAATGTTATGAAAAAATTGTATTTAATTTATTTAAGTTGAATAAACTTAAACACAAAAGTGGAGCAGACATTATGTTATCATAATACTTAATACGTTAGGCTACTGTTACATTGCTAAGCAATAGCGGATAAAGAATGAGAAAATATTTTAGAATGCTGAGAAGTTATTAATATCGTTTCATGAGTTCGGCTAAATTATTGAATACAAGTTTCCTTAGTTTTGAGCTGTAGCTGTCGGAGTCGGGCAAAAACTTTCAATAAATATTTTGTGTATTACAAGATATGTAACATCATATCTTAAGAGAATGCAGGATACATTTTTCTTTACCAAACAAAACAAATTTTATCACGTCCAACATAATTTTTAACTAAAAATTACGAGTTACTCAAATAAATGTACCGAGAAAAGCTCTACAAGTTTCGAGTCACAGAGGGACTCTTCCTCAAGAGCAGCGTGCGCGGTCGCGGCGATGTCACGCAGCCTACTACAGCAGTAGGGTAGAGGTTTTCTCAGTATATAATACTTACGTGACTAACTCCTAATTTTGGTTTAATTCAGCATATCCCACGATAGTTATTATAATAACAACATATTTTTAATAACAACATTTTAGAGGTCAAAAGTCCACTGCCACCGGGAGTGACGTTCACACGGCAATGCGTAAGTAATTTCACATTAATGTGCATATAAACGAGCGCGTACGCATAAACACACGCACGCGTACGTACACGGATAAAAATATGCATGTGCATGTGTGTATAAGCGCTGCAGCGCAACTGTCTATAGTAGTCTTACGGTGGCAGTGGATTTTTGACTTTATACCATAAGTGACGTTAATCAAAATCGCTTTCTGGCTGCTATTGTAACAGTAGCTTACATTCTTATTACAAATGCTAATGAGTCCTGGCTTTCATGTTAAAAGGGTCTCCTTAACAGATGTAAAGAGGAAATTAGAATAAAAAATACTTTTATGTGATTATCTTACCGCATGTCACGACGTTCAAGGGCGTACACGTACAGTTTTGTCTATATGATACATTGCAGGCCACCGCTGGCTTGTCCCCTGTTGTTACTATAGAAAACAAGCAATGTTTAGTGGTTATGCGAAAATATCGATTATGTTTTTCGGTTTACTCACGTAACTGTTTGACAAGGAACTCTACTAGTTTCAAGATATGCTAGAGGTTTATATTCATGAGCGGTGTATTTGAGTTCTTCTTCAAAGAGTTACGTACGTATGCCAAAAAACAGTATAATTAAGTTACATAAGTTACATAACATCACGCCTTTTATCCCCGAAGGGGTAGGCAGAGGTGCACATTATTATGCCACTGTACAATGTAACACCCACTTTTCACTATTTATGTTATGCGTCCCATGTAATAGGAGGTGAGCTTATTGCCATATACCGGGCACAATTCCAGACTCCGTGCTACTACTGAGAATTTTTTAAAAATCCAGTAATACTTTTTTTACAATTAAGTTAGTATATCGTTTTAATACAAATATGTAGATGGAATATGGTCTATGGTTTATGGTTTCGGGTTTAGATTATTTTATTGCAATTGTTTATAGTTTTAATATAATTTGATTATGATTTATAAAATATTATATCATTTATAAATTATTATACCTGTACTTGATGTATTTGATGTAGGCAGTAATTGTTTTGATGAAATGGACATTATTTTCGTGGCTGAAAACATGGAAAATTGCTTAATAAGTACTTATAGATCAGTTGATGAGTAATTAAGAGGGTAATAGACAGTGTATGAAAATTAAAAATACAATTAATCCGTCAGTTACATAATAAAAAAAATATTAGTGACATATTTTTTATTTTGTCTAATAAGAAAACAATACTTGATAGAACGGTGTTTTAGGAGTGAGAGGTCGATACGTCACGCTATCCTATAAATGTAGTAAATCGTGACGTCACACGATGTTTCAATCGTCGAAAGTACCTATTTAGTTTTGTAAGAAAAGAAAAAACAATCTGCCAGTCGGACATTAAAATAACATTCAGCATACTATCTAAGTAATAAAAATACCTGTCAAAGCGAGCGTTGTTGGATTGGCAGATACTGTTTGAACTGCATAACTTTCTTTTACGCAATTGTTCATTACAGCATGTACTGTAAAAAAATGATTAAAATATGAACAAATATGGTGAGCGGTATGAGAGCAGCGTAGTAAGGCAGTAGCACTTGAGTTTTGGATGTCGAATCCTTTTCAAAAGTCAGTGCTGTGAATGAAAACGTGATGACTTACCATCATTGATCCATCAGGTGATTCATCTACTTATTAGGCTCTTTTGATTCTTTTCTCAAAAGTCTTTATCTTTCGGTCGTTTTTCTATGTTCTTCATAATATAAATTAATAAATGTAAGGCTGTAAACACTATTTTAATTTTAAACCTTTACCTTCAACCGTTGATGGTGCGGGTGTGAAAGCCGTTGACACTTCAGCTATGGAGGCTTCAGGAGTCATTTGAGTTTCAGTTTCTAAGAAAAAAAACTTTTGCGAGTAACAAATTTCTATTTCAATATTCCTATGGTCCCATACACTTATGAAACCGCTATGAGTCTCTGAACTTCTTTACATTCTCTGGTACATAGTAGGTGCAGCATAGAGTCTATTTTCATGTAAAATTCTCTATTGTCCAAGCCATTGATAGAAATTTTTTTGTATTTCTAGACTACTTCTGCAAAATAGGTGCTCCTTGGCGAATCTAGATTTAATAGTTTTAAACTTTTGAAAATTAACATCTGCTATACCTTATAATGATTCGTGTTAGATGATGATTCCTTGTGCGTACTGCTAAGGAGTGAATTCTTTGCAAAAACCTGTATTTCCTGAAGGTGACGTGGGTGACTTCAAGGCCCGAGTGAATAGGTTGCTTATGGGCGAACGTGCTGCATCATAGACCACATCATCGCTTACCACCAGGCGAGATAGTGGTCAAACGTCGGCCCATCAAATATATATACAAAATATAGTTTACCTGTTGCAGGTTCTGGTTTAATCTCCTCAGTCTGTGATGATAACTCAGGTTTCTGTTCTTGCATCGATTCGGTCTCCTCATGTAGTATCGTTATATCTGAAAATTATTTTGTGCGCGTTTTTCATAATAGGTACTTAATGAGGGCTTGTCATGAATATGTCGTAGATTCAAGCTTACTAGAGAGCTCTAAGTAACCCTTAGTTGGTTTGTTGTGGTGGTTGGTTTGCGAAGAGAAGGGAGTGATGACATACTTACTCCACACAGGACATTTTGTTATATAAATCTACTCTTTAACTAAAAATAAGGTACCTTTGGTTGGAAAACTCGTTGTTTTTTCAGACACTTTTAGCTTTACTGTTGATATGCCTGTTGTTATTTTGTTAACAGACAAGCTTGGTGACATCTGTGTGTCTATTTCTGAAACTTTAATAGAACATGATTATATTCTCTGATATTATTATAATACGAAACAAAGGTCTAGTTTTCAAATCCAATCATTTATTTTTGATAGGTTATTGTGAAGTCAAGCCAACCAACATTTTTTAAGTACAATGATTGGGTGAATAGTGCTTAACTCTACCCCAACGCCATCTATGAATCGCAAAAACGGTATAGCGTCTTAATGTAATATTTAATTGGATTTTAAACTTACTGTCATTTTGTTGTTCGGCACTAACAGCTCTTGATTGTAATTTTCGCAAAGTAGGAAACACTGATTGCTGAGTTTTTGTTTCATTAAGTTGTGTTATTTCTGAAAACGTGATACAAAATGTAACATAATATCATCGGTATGGTGGTGTATTTCTTTTATAAGTCTAAAATTGGATCATAATGATGTTAAGGTAAGTGCAGTAGAAATGCGAAAATAAATTTTAACGAGACTTGCTTAACTCGTCGAGTACCGGTTTTATAGACACAATTAAAGAACAATAGGTCGCGGTCACCGGTGACCGCTTGGTGTTTGACAGTTTAAACGAGATAACTAGGAGAATACATAAGACATAATTATAAAATAATATTACCTGAACCGGTATATGGTTTGTAATATGTTATGTCACAAGCAGAAGTAATCGTTCCTGTCGAACTGTGGTTGAACATTGGAAGGAATGATACGTCCGTTTCTGAAGAGAATACATTGAAATTATAATAAAAAAACCGCATAGAATAAAAAAACACAATACAATCTTCAGTTTTTAAAGCTTTATTGAATAATTTTGAATAAATATATTAAATTATGGATCCCCATACTGGCTTGAAACTAATCGAGTAACCTCGTCAAATTGATACGTAAATAAGCCGTACAAACTTAGTAATTTAAAGATAAATTAGGTATCATACCTGCATTATGACACATGATAATCTTTTGCGTGAAGGCATCCTTCGATAATTCTACAGACATTCGATATGGGGTGGACCTCATAAAGGTGCTCGTTACCTTATCGTACATGAAGTAAGGTAAATCTGACGTGTCTGTGTGTTGATTGGACAAATTCAATAAGAACATTTGCGTGAAACTGGTCGATCGCTCCACTTTTATTGGCATTAGGTGTTTATCTGAAAATTTTCGGTTTTGTATTAATAAAAACTACATGGGAGTGCTATGTAGACATTACGTGGAACAGTTTCGCTAAGTAATATGAATGGATAAGGTCGATTGGAATGATACGGCAGCATGGGAGAAATCCAGGGTTAAACAACACCGTTTCGCTGTGTGGGTGAGATTTTCAGACCCAATACATCCTCCTGGAAAGACTGGCAACGACTGGCTACTTGAAATCCATCTGATGCTGCAGGTGGTGGTGCTGATTATCCGGTGATCCGTCTACTTGTTTGCCCGTCATCCCATAAAATATAAATAAATAATCTTTGAACAAACCTTCATACTGACAACTTTTGCAGAATTCAATCTTGTTAGTACTCCAAGAGAATCTGTTGATATTATTAGTAGCACGGTTGCAATTATCTCGGTAACAAGGAGGACGATATACTTGAGATCTCTCTATATTTATCGTTCTTGCCGATGGAGATCTTTGTTCTGAAACGAATATTATGACAATTCAATAATAATTTTACAATAATTTGGTTTAAAGGGCTAAATTAAACGAAAACTATTAAAACGAATGAGAGTTAGACAGAAAACGACAGAAACTTACGTGAATTATACAAAAATGGATACATGGAAGGGCCTAGACTTGAAGGCTTGCTTTTTGGTTTATGATTCGAAAACTTATACGCTGTGAAATTAAACAAATGAAAATTACATCACCAAATTATGCCTTTCAATCGAATTTAATTAAAAGATTAACATTCTGGCAGATATTTTAACTGCAATTTTAACTTACCGAATAAATTGCCACTACAATCATCATCGGACGTAAGAAGTAATAAAAACTTACTGGACTCATTAAGATTGTTAATATTCAGCCAGGATCCCATATTGAACACAGTACTTATTGCTGCGGACTTCAGTTCTTTTGGAACACTGTCTGTACCTAAAAGCAAAAGTATGTCTCGTGCGTGAAGGAAATAGTTGAGACGATTTATGAGGGAAAGTACTTTACTTGCGAGTTTATACATATCTGCTGGGATTGGGGGAAATAGGCCCTTTATTAGCTGTAGGGTAGGTCTTAGAGAAGATTTATTCGATACGCATCGAAGCTAAGGTTAAGATTTGTGTCTGATAAGTATTTTTAAGTGCAAATACATACTTATACAGGTATTAATACATTTTTATTTTAGTGGTTTTTAAATATTAAATTAAGAAAATATTGTTTAATTGTTTTTCACACATTACATGTACTACTTGGGACTTCTCGTCTCATGTCAGTAATTGTCTTAAATAATAATATTTTGAAATACCTGTTTCACTATAAATCGGTGTATACGTCTGTACATCAGCGTCTTCCCATACTGTTCTACGTTTCAAATGCTGCATGACGCGGACTGAGGAACCAAATTAAATAAAAATGTTATGATAACAATTATAAGCAAATTATAGCTATTCTGTTCTCCCTAAGGTTGTGCCGTGACAGGCGTTGCACTGTGTGGGGTCCGGAGCAGGTCTATTAGGGGACTCAATGCCCCTTACAGGTGCTCAGGAGCAGCTCTATTAGAGGACTCAGCGTGGTCACTGGGGTAGTTTTAATGAGGTAAAACTAAAAGTAATAGAACAGAATATTTTTTTTAACTAAAATCGCGGGTTACTCACGTAGTCACGTGAATATACTGAGAAAAGCTCTACTAGTTTCGAACCACAGAGGGGTTCTTTGATGCTGACTGTACATCATTACTTCCTGGTTTTCATCTGTATTTAAAGTAATGCCCAAGTACTGAAATGCTATTCAATTTAAAGTAGTACTTACCTTCGTGTCACCTCTGTCATTTACATGGAATTTGTAGTGACAGAACTATACTGAAGCGCGACTTAAAATCGAGTGGTGTTTGAAGAAGTTGTATACTTACATTTTTTAAATCGTACTGAAGACCTCATGGACCAGGCGGCCCATCGTTCAGCAGTCTTCTTCCACACACGGTTCCACAATCGCCGCCGACAAATCCGGCGGATTGATATGCGTCGTCGCCAGGTTACGAAAGGACTTAGCACTGAGTAAGAGAAATAAAAATATTACATAGTAAATGTGAAAGTTTCTTTTTATGCATGTTTGTCCCACAATCACGCTGAAACTACTGAACCGATTTTGATGTAAGTTGATATACAGGCAGGGTATGGGTTGACTTAGGTGATAGGATACTTTTTATCCCGATTGAAAGCTAAAACAGGAATCATATTCTACGCAGACGAAGTCGCGAGCAACAGCTAGCATTTTATGATATTTGATAGATTGGTACCTATAGTTTTTACCCAATTACCCAATGTCTGTAATCGCATTTCTGTGCCATCTCTATGCAGAAATTAATAATAATAGATTTCGAAGCGAAAAGGTAATCTGCAGGTTCCATTTTACACATGTTCGAATAACTTTGATGATGTATTCATCAAATAAAGACTCTAGAATACCTCCAGTAATGGCAGAAAAACGGTAGATACTGATTAGTTTCACACGTATTCGTTATTCGAAATGTCACAGAATAAGGCTTCTAAAAATAGTATTTTATTGCGAATAATTCCTTAGCTATTTCTTGATACTTTTATTAATAGCTCATAAAACGTTTTATATTCAATTCTATTTTCAGACGCAATAAGTTGCAAATCCCGTAGACATTGTGAGGCTCGTGTAAGTTGATGTTTTTTTCCATTCATATAATTTTTACTACCTATGTAGTTCCTAATTCAAGATAATTTGAGATATCCTTGATTCTCTACAATGCTTTATCAATATCACATCAGTAACAAGCCCTCCACTGGTGAACATAGCCTTCCCCTATTGACTTAAAGAAAATTCTTCTCAAAAAGTATACAAATTGTTTTTTTCACTCACTTTTGTACCGACTGCTAGGAAATTTATTGTAGCGATGGCACCCCGGGCATATGTTTGGTAGACTACTCTTAGCTTTACTGTCACTGTGTTTTTTATAAAATACATTCTTATTGGTGCAGCTGTCGCGGTTTGGGCTTTCTGTAGCAAAAAAAAAATTGTGTATAAGGCAAGACGAAGGCTTTATAAAAGTAAAATGTTTTCTTCTTATATATAAAAATGGATTGATGTTCGTTAGTCTCGCTAAAACTCGACAATGGCTGGACCGAGTTAGCTAATTTCAGTCTTGAATTATTCATGGACGTCCATGGAAGGTTTAAAAGGTGAGAAAAAACTATTTGAGGCGGTACGAAGATTGCTGGGTCAGCTAGCTTATCTATCACAGATTGACTGACAGACGACTTGACAGGCAAATATTCTATAAGTCAATAGACCTTTATCTTATCAGCCACTTGACGTCCACTGCACATAGGGTCCCTCAAAAATTTCCAGATCGGCCGGTCGATCAATAGAATCCACAAAAGTTAAAAAGTTTTTTAACATGTTATACGCCACGGAGATCACCGGTGATCAACGTCATTTTATTACAGAATTTGCCATCAACAGTTTGCCGTTGTAAGTCAAAGACTTAACATATGAAAAAATCTTACCTCTACTTTTGGAATCAGTTTCAGTCGTATCGCTTTTGTACTTGGTAGACCAGTCAGTGGTTACGGCAGTGGAATTATCAGTAATCAGTTCATTTGAATTCGATTGATCTGGCAGTTGACCCCACCCAGGGCTCGTCTGGGCTTCAATAACAAACTCATCCATCCTATCTCTTTTTCCCTCTGTAGCCTCTTCATTTGATATTATATTATCACTAGTATCGGTGGTGACAGCGCTAGTTTGTGTCTTATCATTGTCGACTCCTATAGCTATTTGGAATAAGATGTCTATTAGAAAATAATCTTTATTCTCTCTATACTTTTACCTACTAAACTTAATTTTTTTCACGCGTGGTGAAAGAAAGAATAAGCCTATACCGCAAATAACAGTAACTAGTATTTTCTTTATAATATTTGCATCACACACAAATACTCATCAGACGTCACTTAAAACGACGGGTTTAGCACGAAGAAGAGCATATCAATGCTATGTAAAAGAATATAATACTATATGTTGCTGTTTAGAAAAATGACCTTCATAAGGTCTTTTTCACGTCGTGGTGGCCCGGAGGTTTATGACGCACTTCTCATACATGAGGGTGCTGGTTCGAAACCTACCAACGGCAAGTACCAATCTGACTTTTTCCGAGTCATGTGTACTTTCTAAGATTATTATTAAGACACCACTGACAAACGGTGAAGGAAAACATCGTAAGGAAACCTGGACTTATAACTTCTAATTATAAGTTTGAAATCACCAACACGCATTGAACAAGCGTGGTGATTAATGCTCAAACCTTCTCCGTGTGAGATGCTTGTGAATGTTTGCTCAGCAGTGGTCATTTATAGACTGTTGATGATGAAGGTCTTTTTGGAAAAGAAACTGTTATACGAAGATTTTATTAAGAACTACGTACCATCCATCATTTCAAAGTTGGTGGTCTTCTGCAATATTTCTGACAAGCATTCAGTGTAAGATGGTACTGGTATTCGTTGGGTTGGTGTCACTGCGTGGCTCACGTTTGCAGGGCAAGGGGTGGGTTGCTCGGTTGACTGTGGGACTTTGTTTGGTTCTGAAACTACTAAAACAAATTTCATTTCGACACCGTTCTCGAAATAAGTTTGGTGTATTAAGTTTTCATCGTATGAGTGAGGTTACCGGAGGCCCAATTACCCTCGCCTTCTCCAATCTCCCCAATCCCTGAATCCCCAACGAACCTCAAACTCCTAATCCCCGAAAGGCCGGTAACGCACTTATTACGCCTCTGGTGTTCCTGGTGTCCATGGGTGACGCCGATTGCTTACCATTAGGTGATCCGTCTGCTTGTTTACCGGCTTATGCCATAAAAAAGAGCACTTTTAATGTATGACAAAGATTTTCTGGCAACGTACTTGTGACTCCTCTAGTGTTGCGTGTGCTAATGAATGTCGATCATTGCGTACCATTAGGTGATCTGTCTGCTTCTTTGTCCTGCTATCCCATGTTTTTTCTAGAGCACTTCCAATTATCAAATAGGTATTGACGTATTGACTGCCTCGTTGGCCGACTGGTCGCAAATGCGACTGCCAGGCAAGGGGTTTCGGATTCGACTCCCGGATTGGGCAAAATATTAAGGGGTTTTTTTAAAAAAAAACTCAGTAGTAGGATGGAGTTTCGAATTGTGCCCGGTATATGGCAATAGGCTCACCCCTTATTACATGAGATTCATAATATAAATGGTGAAAAGTGGATGTTACATTGTACAGTGGTATTAAGTACCGTAATATGCACCTCCATTTGGCCTTCGGGGATAAAAGGCGTGATGTTATGTATTGATTAAAATTAAATTTTTGGGCTTAATTATATTAATTTTTATTCTTAGATACCTGGTTTGGGTACTTGTGATATTTTGATAGTAATGTTCGTTTTAGGAATAACACCAGTACTTTCCGTGATTTCTTGCCTATTTCCTATTTCGGGGGACATACAGAGGACAACTGTTTGTTGTTCTTTTAATAACAAGCTTGGACCTGGAATAAAAATATTTTAAAACCAACTAGGTATAATATGGGTATTTAAGACTAGTTATACTCAATTTCATTTACAAGAAGCCGTCAATAATAGCATTTGGCAAACAGTGTTAAGAGACAAATACCATTTAAACTGTCAAACACCAAGCGGTCACCGGTGACCGCAACTTATTGTTCTTTAATTGTGTCTATAAATACGGTACTCGACGAGTTAAATGCACAATACCGAAGAGAGCAGATACCTTAACATGGAGGGTTAATGGAAATTGTGACACTTATCAGTATCATTCCCATATCTACATTGCATTTTCTTCTCTATAGACAAGCGCTTAAATGGTATTTAGCTTGCACGCGCCCAATATCAAATGACTATAGTCAGAATTTTAATTAGATTCCAGATTTGACAATAGCTACTGTCATTTTGTGAAATAATGATACCACATATAATGGTGTAGTGATGCACACAAAAATCGATAAACAATCAGTGTGTGTATTTTATAATAAATGTCACAGAAAGTGACAGGATAGCGATAGCGATGACGGCGACAATTTATAAAATAACTTATTACCATAATACATCTATCCGTTTTATTTGACATGTTCCTTCATGATTACATTTTTTTATTTATTTCACACACAATTATAAAAGAAACGTCTCAGATCGTTAATTAATCGTCAAAACTAAATTATCGGTTCAGAAATATTTAATTTCCTGATATACTTAGTTCACGAGAGTAAAATTATAATTATTATAAACAAAAAGAATCGATCCAGAAATATTGCATTTCCATATCGAATAATTTCGCAACGTCACTATTTAGTACTTGTCATAACGTTGCCACACTGAAATTGTCAAATCTGGAATCGAATTAAAATTCCGAGTATACGTAAAAGTATGATCTAACCCTCACTGCACTCCGACTCCGGCCTAGACGATGCACATAAGCTACAGCTGTTGTCTTGTATAATACCCAAAGTATACGTTTTGTTTGAATTAGCCGTCTTACAATCCGACTCTGATAGTACAGTAGATTTTTCGGCATTTTTGCTGCTCATTGTTTTATAACCTGTAAGATCAGGAGATAATTTTTAACAGAAATTGTCACAATTGCTAAGATTTTACTTATTTCAAAGTTCTAGATCCAAATACTAAATGCTTGTAAATTAATAATGTTGAAATGAGAAAAAAATGGTATCCAGATGTTGTTTTTTCAGATCGTAGAATCCTTACTAATATTATAAATCGGAAAGTGAGTTTGTTTGTTTGTTTGTTTGTTCCACTTTCACGCCGTAACTACGAAACCGATTGCTTTCAATTTTTGCAGACGTAAAGTTAAAAGTCCGGATTAAATAATAGGGTACTTTTTAACCCGGAAAAATTTGATATTCCCGAGAAAAAACAAAAGTATTGGTATAGATGGCGCTGTGTGTAATGGTATATGTCACATAGGCTACTTTTTATTCTTTTGTGACGCGAGCGAAGCCGCGGGTAAAAGCTAGTAAGTTAATAAATTAAAAAAATTAGCTTATATCTAGGACTCTACGTTGTACACCAACTTATATTCAACATACCTATACTGTATTACTACTGTAATTAAAATAGAGTACCTGATTCAGTATCCCTAGTAGGAAACTGGACATCAGATGAAAGCCACACAGTGACATTTTCATTAGTACTTTGAAGTTCATTCATTACGATATTCTTTCTGTCTAGTACCATAGTGGGTTTCCCAAGCTCTTGTTGATGACAATTTGCTGGTGATGCCACTATGTGATAAAAAGATACATCTTAACGTCTTTATTAGTTAAATGGCATTAGAAATAACTAAAGAAGTAAGTGAAAGATAAGCTCGACTTCATTCCACAAATAGTTGTTCTAGGTCTGGGTGTCATGTGTTTGTAAAATTGTAAACGCACCCACGAGACAGGAGCAAATGCTAGTGTGGGACAACCTTTAAAAAAAACTATGGCAAAGTTTATGCAACAGATGAGATTTTTGTGCTGCTACTTTATGCTTAGTATGATATCCATTGCACATTATTTTTCAAAGATTTATAAATCTCATCCAATTTACTAACCAGTACTTGAAGCTCCATCGTCCTCATTAAGTGTACTTTCAGTTATCGGGTTTGACGCTGTTGTATTTATTGGAGAGAATTCCATGAACCAATCTGATATAGGAAACAAAATATTAGTTAGTTTAGGTTTGATAGTTATTCTACTATTTATTAATTTTTATCTGAAGTTTGAACAGTATTCGAATTTCAAAATTAAAATTCTCGTAATAAGAATTAAAAACTACTGTTTTTTTGTTCCCCAGGTGGCGCTAATCAGGCAAGAAGTATCTGTCCAATCACTGCAGCTGTCAAAAATTGAATGTCCAATGGTGTGACACTACCTAATTCCTTATTGGACGAAGAACGAAGCCATACACTAACGACATCTAGTGAACAAAAATTGCCCGATTCGGAATCGAGCTCGAAACCTGTATAGCAGTTTAAACCTAACGTATATTATCGTTCAATGACTTCTTGTAAACTAATTCGGAACAACACAATACTTTATTTTGTTTACCGTTCAGTCGGTCACTATCTATCATATTGATTCGGCCATAAATCTGTCCCAGAGTTGGAATAGGTCTCGTCGATTGTACCGACGCCGGTGGAGGTACGCGATCCTCTGGGCAGAATTCTGTAAATCAAATCGAGAAATGTGTAAACGATTGTTTTTCCTAACCGAATACTACTACTAAAATCGATTTGACAAAAGAGTTATGATAGTAGAAAGTTAAAAATTATCTGCTTCGTTGATTAAATATTCGCGATTGTGACAGTCAAGCAAAGTGTTTCGAGCTCAATTCCCATCCGAAATAATCTTAATTTTAAGACGTTCTAACCAGTTAACATTATAATTCTGTCTTAGGAGAATTCCGGATGCCCAACATATTTAAGTATTTGAGGAAACGATAGCGAAATAAATTATTTCCTACATCGGGGGTCGGCAACAATTCCAAATTTCTTGTTCTACAGGTGTAAGTAATTGCTTATCATCAGGCAGCTTTACTTTGCTTCTGATGGTAGTGTAGGTATTAAATATTTCATTTATGATTACCGACACATTATTAATTATTATGCTTTCGTCTTACTCACGTAACTGTTTGATAGCATGAGCCTCATGAGCATGAATATAAATTTACGAGAAGCATTCCGCGACCCGCGACGTGGCGACAGTCGAGCTGCTACTCTACTAGTACTGCTAGTCGAGTTCCACGTCAAACAGTTACGTAAGTAAGCCAAAACATAATAGTTAATTTAGTATACCTTACGAAAGTTATAATACCGACACATTGTCTTTAATGCAACAGCTCTCCACCAGTAATTTCACTCCCGGTTCGGTTCGGTTAAAGGCAGTAGTGTCTTTATTTATCTAAAGTTAAGGTTTACTACTACTAGCGTTTCCTTATAATTACCTTGATTTATCAACATTTGAACTCTCTGAACATTTCTACATTCAGGTATAAACTGGTTGTTAGAAGTTTCATTTTTTTTTAACAACTCGCAACTATCTTCTTTATTGCATTTTCGACGCGGTATAAGACTTGGTTTTGATTTGTCTGCTGTATCCATGAAAATATTTCTGTTAGAACGGTTCTGTACAAAATCTATTAACTTATAAATATTTGATTAAGAATTATGATATTACTTTACCAGCCACTTAAAAATACTTAATATCAATGATGTACATAGTATTTGTATAGAATGCAATATTTGCTACTCACTCGAGTCATCTTTTTTCATTTTCATTGGAAAACCGCCCATTTTGCTTGATCCGGGTAATGAATCTCCTAAAATCCGAATCATATACATTAGCAAACTGAATATTGTACACCTACGTTTGTACTTATGCTTGCATAATTGTATAAAGAGCTATACAATTAAATAATAATAAGTGAAACTGTTCAAAAGTACTCCTCTGTTGCATAATGTTCATAGCTCGATAATTCATCAATTTATGAACGTTGTTGTTTAACATTTAAATTTAATATTTTACTTACCAGTCTGGTCGTGTAAACTTTTCAAATGTTCAATACTTTTGAAAAATTTTGATTGCACTGACTGGCGAACAATTCTCGGCAGTTTGCTGTTGATCTTTCCTTTGCTTTGATCTGTGTATAATTATGAAGTTTTATTAGTAATCTAGTCATCTACTCACCACTATTATTCATGTTTAACTTGTAAAGAATAATTTATACCGTTAGCCAATTTTTGTTTAGAATTAGATATATGTATTCTCAAGTTCTGCCCAAAATCAGCAAGTTTAAACATTTCTTTTGCACTTTCATCATTTTGCATATTATCCATCTCGTTGTTTCAAAATTACTACAAGTTGTTCTAGATTTTTATAAGTTTCTTCAATTACTTAGAATTTTTTTTACCCTCTTTAGATAACTCGCTCCTGATAATGCTCTCAGTTTTCTTAACCAAGAGGCAGGAGCATGATCTCATAATGTTACAGTTTTAATGACTATTCCATCCAATCGATATGAGCTGCTACATATTTTAGTCGATCGACGTATTATGCTCACTGCTTTCTCGAAATAACCATTCAAGTTCAGATAAATTTTATCAATCTTTTTAACAAAACTATTAGATAAAAAAAACCAAAGTAATGCTTTGTTTTTGTTTATTTAAATTTTTAACAATCAATTTTATGAAAATCTAAAAATTATTGCATTTTATTTTGACAATGGGAATTTGACACAAGTTGCTTAAGTCAGTCAAGTTTTCTTCTAAATTGGTAGTCGGACTTCTTGCTTAGTCGCCAGTAGTAGTATCATCGTCCTCAATGCTCTCATCTTCATTGATGAAAAATGTTCTCTCAGAATGGGCTTTCTGTTCTGCTTGTATCTCTTCTAGTTTCTTAATCAAATCCTCTTGGACACTATCGACTATTTCTTTTAAATTTTTCGCTGAAAAGCAACCAATATCAAGGAAATATAATTATATCGTATCTTTGGAAAAGTGGATAGATAAAACAAAGTTAAGATCTGTAGGGCGGTAAAATTGGGAGTACTTGGAATAAGATACAATTATTTTGATTGTATGACGATGACAAAAGGGAGCAGCAACCTAAGAAGGAAAGAATTTAACTCACCAGTTTTTTGGTTGAACTCTTCAGCTATCAACGAGATTTTTCTTAACGTGCCAACATGTTTAGCTATTTCTGACGCAACATCATGATCTGTTCCTGTATTAACTGCTTGGTCTTGCGTTTGAGCTTTCCTTTTCTTTTCTGCTGATTGTTTTAATAAATCGCTATTAACTAATGGCATTTTGGGCATTTTAAACGATCCAGTTTTTGGTGGACTGAGGATTTCTATATCATCCATAGGAGCATCTTCGATGTTGCTGGCTGCGGTTGTGGGAGCAGGGATGTTTAATGTGTCATTGGGTATTAATTCTGGTGCAAATGTTTGTAATGTCTCAATTTTCATAGGCGATGGACACTTCGGTGGAGATTTTCTTGAAAGCTTGACCGGTAAGGCATTTGTTATGCTATCTATTATCGTTTCTGAAAAGAAAACGTACATTGTGCTGATTTATGTGTCAATTAAAATGAATAGGGCATTTATATTCTGACATTTTTCTAAGATGCTTTGCCAACAAGATTCAGTAAGTAACATAATTATTAATTGAAACTGTCTCTTGAAGCAGTTTGATAGTATGTATATGCACGTTTTGCTCTAACTCTTGACAAGTTTCAACTTACGAACAATATTTTTTGGCGATTCTTCTTCTTGTTTCTTTTTAGACGCCAGCTTTCTGGTTAATTCAGCCAAAAACATAGAGCAAGTGGGTCCTGAAAACATACTAACATTAAAGATTATCTTCAATTTAACAGTTGAAACATTAGTCACAAAGCTTGGAAAATGATTTACCCATTATTATCTTCAATATATTTTAGTGCATGTATAAGAATATTACTTAATTACCGTCACTTTTACGCTTCTTTGCCGTTTTTGGTTTAGCGGCTGGTTTTTTACTTTTTGCTTTGTAGCGAGCAGGCTTTTCCATGACTGTAAATACAAAACAGAAATCATAACCTCTTTTGTACAGTACCTTACTACATTTACAATATATTGGCAAAATTGTACGTGAACCACGTCATTGTTTATCCCTGGGGTTCCTAAAACCGTGATATCATACTCATGTTTTCTCTTTAATCATCTTCCTACACACTGTATGTGGGTGTTGCTACAATTAGGTACATAAGACATTTACGTATTACCCTTGAAATAGCTAATACACAGTGACCTTATACCGTCAACCCAGTTTGTTTATACACACAAGTCAAATCTATACGGTATTAAAGCTTCCCACCGACGACGGTTTATATAAATAAAGTCGTTTTTAAAATCAACCCTTTGATTTTCAGTTTAAAGCGAAGATCAAATGCTTTTAAACCAAAGGGGACTTGATTGCAATGACATGTTCCTTGAAGATAGAGCCAAAATTACCTTAAAAAGAATACTTAATGTATTCTTTCTTCTTAAAAAGCTTTTAGTCTGAATCTCATAATCCTGTAGTAGACGTGTAGTTATTTTTAGAAATGGTTTTCGCAATTATAATGGCAAGACTTGTATCACTCAAGGAAAAAGGTAGCTCTGGATATTGTAATGCATTAAAACATCACTGTTTTAGTCTATGTACATTATAACTATGTATTTTGAACTCTAAAAGTATATATCCTTACCTGCTATAAAAAGGATAAAGGAGAATCTTTTACGTACAATTTGCCCTCACATGATGATATACTGCATCAATATTCCTCAAGTCGACTAGAACTGAGAATCATAATGAAAGTTGTACTTACTCGATCGGTAGCCTCGGAAAGTCCCGGTGAACGGGACCTCCGTAAATAAATAATTGCTATCTTACTTACGAATAGCGTCACTAGGAATTTTATATTACACCTGACAGTATCGATGACAGTGACAGTTAGTTTATGGGTGCATGCAACAAAGGAGGTTGTGGAGTTTAAAGCATCGACTAACTTGTAAACCTCCTTTGGGTATAATGCCCTTATGGTCTATCTCAGACTAGGATTACTATGCTCATACTTATTATACTCTTTGACTATGCTATAGTTGTTCCTTTAGCGTGGAAAATCGCTTAAAAGTATATAGATTTTACTGCTTATATTACGTTACGCTATTTAATCTACGAAATGTCAGAGAATTTGAACGCATGTAAACATCAACTTTTCACCATTTCTGTTATGAGTCTTATGTAAACTTTATGCTGTGTTACAGAGAGGTTTTCGAGAAACCGAAAATCTTTGGCGATTTTCGGTTTCTCGAAAACCTCTTTTCAACTCAAAAGCATTTTGCCTGGCTCGGAACCGAAGATCTCCTACTCAACTGTCACACTCGTTCATGCAAAATAGGATTGCGTCTGAATCCAGCATTACCTTTTAAGATATAAATGTGTTGTAGTAAAATTATACGAATTTCATGGATCGCCGAGTTGTTGAGGAAACTTCAATACTTTTCATAGTTTTGAAGATGAATATAATTTCCTTATGACTGCGTCGGAGAGTGTATTTGTAATAGTGTAGGGTGCTTACATAAAGAAACAGGTCAGTGAGTAAGGTGGTTAAATAAGTGAATGGATTATATTGAAATGCTACTTACTACCGGCTTGTTCCTCTTCCCAGTGGGATAAATAATAACCTATGTGCTATTTCAGATTATAATCTACCCCTGTTCCAAATAACCGGATCCTTTCAGCCGTTTTTACATGATTGAGAAACAAACATACACACATACTCACTTTGTCTATCCATACCTGTTTCGTTACGTAAGCACTAATCGTTGTGAGGGCACGACTTCAAAGTCTTTCGTTCTTTGTTTGGATTTTTCATAATTAGCACTGTCATATTCATATTCAACATCATCATCATTATCATCATCATCAATAGCCTATGCTGCTGAGCAAAGCCTCTTCTCACACGGAGAAGGTTTGAGCATTAATTACCATGCTTGCTAAATGCGGGTTGACGATTCCAAACTTATAATTTGTAATATTCCTTACTATATATCCGTTTATCAGTGGTGTCTAAATAATCTTATAAAGTACATATAACTCGGAAAAAGTCACATTGGTACTTGCCGTTGATAGGTTTCGAACTGCATTCATGAGAAGCAGGCGTCTTAAACCTCCGGGCCACAAGGACATCAATTATATTAGTTTTAGATTACTGGGTATATAAATCATTAAATAAAAGAAGCAATTTGGTATATAATGTTTAATATGTTATGTATTTAGAAGTATCATTGTAACCACTTCATATACGATGACTGCATAATCACATTATAAGTTGTAGTAGTTTCTGAAAAAAAAACGAAGTGTATTAAGTCGTATAAATAGCGCTGCAAATGTTATTACAATAAGAACTTTAAAAAAATATATCACGTCAATTACTACAGAAAAAAAATAAAAACACACCAACAACGACTCATTCCCGCGGTAAGGTTGGTTTCTGCAAACAAAATAAACGCGATTAGTATACCTGAAGAATCTTAAAAGAAATATCTCGGTTTATTTATACGAAAAAGCGTGTACAGGTGTCTGTTCGAGGTATTGGACTTAAATCGAGCATGTGTTTGTATTCATTTTATATTGTGGGCTGTTTACTGTTTTGGAAAAGATGTGGGAAGATTTTTGCGCCTACGTTTTTCCTTGCCTGATGACACAGAATGAAAGGAATTCGCCAAACCATCTCAGTTTCGAGAATTCTTTTGACATGGTTTAGTGATGTGATGAAGGTTTAATATGAAATTGTGTGTCATGAGTGGCAAGCATTGGCAGTACTCAGTCTCAGTGATATTTCTATGTTGTGGGCGTATAGTCTATTTCAGATCTAGCAGACTACAATGGTCTGTATAATTTAGTAGTTTCAGAATTTCGTGGAATGCCTTATAAGTATCGTGAAAACGTGATTATGGTGTCTTTTCTTTTTTCATCTTCTCCTTACTATTAATTTAAGTTTCGATTTTGTTTTATAATAGAAATGTTCTTTCAGAATATTGTCAAATTAAAATGTTAATACTAACACTAATAGGTGATGGCTCTTTTCTTTCTTCTGTAGGAGCTGTAGTAGTTGCTTGCTGTTGAGATGATGCTGGTGGCGTAGTTTTTGGGTCTTGGGCAGCTTCAATAGAATGAGCGATGGAAGGTGTGACAGAATGCGTTTGTAGTACTGCAGCTGCTGCAGTTAATGGCACCTGGTTTGCTGAAATAAGAAAGTAAATAATCTTTTATCTTTGTGTTAAAAAATCATACTTCATAATAAGATGTTATCTTCTGTTGTTGATATGTTTACAAATACTTCAGCAAAAACGGAAGAATAGCAATTAGTTCATCGTATAAACAGTTGTACTGCGATTTGAACTTTCTATGCAGCAGTGATTGTCCAGACCACATTATACCATCAAACCATATCAATCGAGCAACTGAAAGCAATAATAGCAGTATTAGTTTCATTTAGTACAAACTCACGTGGTATACCATGATAACTTTCACGGGCATCATAAAACTTTTCTTTTGTCTCAGGAGGTGGCGCCACGGAGCTAGCATCAGACAAATTCTCACTAGATAGACTAGAGTAACTCGCGTTTTTATTGGCTGTTTCTTTCTTTTTCTTTTTTTGCTTCCTTAGTTTTCCAGCTGTTGGTGGCTGTGTCGGAGAAGCACCAGTAGGCAATGGATCATCTTTTCTTATGTCGTGCAGTTCAAGCACTAAAGGTGTGTGTTGAGCCACAAATACTCTGTCTTGGTAAGAGTCTGAATCCGATGTGTCCGTCAGATCAATGATATTATCCATACCTTCATCTGAAAGAAGTTCGATTTCTGTACTCCCCTATATCGTTGTCCTGCTATCCTACTAATTCTACTAATATTATAAATGCAAAAGTTTTTTGTACGTTGGCCGAGTGGTCGCAAGTGCGACTGCCGGATAAGGGGTCTCGGGTTCGATTCCCGGGTCGGGCAAAGTATTACTGGGTTTTTAAAAAAATGTCAGTAGTAGCACGGAGTCTGGAACTGTGCCCGGTATATGGCAATAGGCTCACCCCCTATTACATGGGACTCATAACATAAATAGTGAAAAGTTGGTGTTACATTGTAGTGGCATAATGTACACCTCTGCCTACCCCTTCGGGGATAAAAAGGCGTGATGTTATGTTATGTTTTATGTTGTAAATAGCTAAACAGAATACAGTGGTTACAGAAAATTGGTCTGTTTTTGCATTGTACCTCTATTTTACGATTAAAGTCAGCATAGTTCTATCGATTGTTTAGGATTTAATTGATATTGTTACGCGAAGTAAGGAATCAGATTTGTATGAGAAAAGTCTAGTCTGAAACACACTGTTATGTTAGTTTGCTAACCTTGATCCATTTTGATATTATCCATAACCCTTGTATTAGATTTTCGATTAGTCCTGTTCCTATTTTATTACATTTTGTACATTATTTTAGTTTTAATCTAGCTGTTTATTGAATGCATATTTTAATTTGATGACACATGTGAATGACAGATTATTTTGACAGTTGTGTTTGATTTAGGAATTACAGCAAAAAGGATTAAGTCTTGAAGTTTTTGCTAATTTAAAAAAATATTAAAATAAGGCTTGTTGGATCTGTGTCACTGATCTGTGTTAGACTGTCGTACTGTGGACAACGTTTTTTAAAATCAATTAAACATAATTACAAACATCCATATTATTTCCACTCAAAAAGCTTCTTATAAAGGGTGTTACAAACATCGTAAGGTCAACAACACCAAAGGTCATAAACGGGAGAGAAACGACCAGAAACCGATATCACTGGACATAGACCACTCACTACCTAATAAACCTATGACCATTTTTTATATGGGTCATAAAACCCCGCTTGGAATTTACGACGACTTTGACAATGGCCCCTAAACGCTACGTTAGGCAATGTGCTGAAAACTAATCAAATACTTTTATAGTGGTGTTTTGATACGTATGGTAAATGTGAATGGAAAGTATGAGAAAGAAGGGAAGACGTATTTTTTAATGAAAAACTATGAATAAAACGTTTTTTCAATAAAATTTTGGCGTGTTTCTACGGTCAAATGGAAGTACGATTCCTGAGGGCTTGAGCTTCTCGACCATTGATCATTCGGAGACTAAATGCTGTATGTATCTTTACCATGTCAATTATTTCAGATTATACTATAATTATTACAGACAAGATATTTGTACGAGGTCGAAACCAAATTGATACTTGGTACTCTCTAAAGACAGAGAGAATTATACCTCTAGATTATAGAGGGTTTTGAATGGTCATCTACATAGTGACTAACTTTGACAAGCGCAGCTTAAGCAACGAACGGCTAGTCTCAATATTCGGAACCTTACTTAGAACTATAGAACTGGAGAACTTGTAGATTTGTTATAATGAAATGATTTTGAATAATGTTTTTCTTGAAACACCGTTTCATCTGGAACTCTAAACATGATATCAATGGTTGCATAGGGTCAGAGAAGTTTGATTCTCGAGCGGAGTACTACTGACATTTCCATTTCGAAATGCACGGCTGACGCGGTGGCTGCCACGCAACGGGAAGACGGTTCGATTCCTGCACTGATGAACTCGTTTTGTGATTCATAAATAGTTATACCGGGGTCTGGGGTGTCATGACGTGTATTTGAAATTCTATTTTTCTAAACGCACCCACGGGCCACGACACAGGGGAAATCCGAGCCTGGGACAACGTTTAAAAAAATCATACCTGGTGGTTAGTGAAACACAAATCAAAAAATGTAAAAGTAGTTTAAGTATTTATTTCTGTACAAGTGATTTGTAATCTTTTAGACATAAATGAATTCAAACCGCAAATTGTTTTATGTTTTAAATCGATTTCATTTACGAAATTTACACAATCAGTAACTTTACCAGAGATGTTATCGTAAATAACGTGTTTGCCAACCGTCAGATAAGTGCGTGTCACCTACCTTCAGTTTACGTTAACCGTTAGTTTTACTACTCGTTCCGTTTACGATGTTGTAAACTGTCGCGTTCTGTGGTTTAAAAGTTCTGTCGAAGTGTTTTCCCAAAATTTTTATTATTGTTTCTGGAAATCATATGAAAGTAGATGACAATAGTAGAAATATTCTGTTTGCACCATTATAATCATAGTTTGCAATTAAAAAAAATACTATTGGGCAAATTATTTAATGGTTCGCCGTTTAGTAAACGATCAGCGTCGCAAAGATCGCAACCAGAAAGGTTTATAGACACACAACGACATGTAGATCTATGTCTCTGCACACAACTGTCAAAATCCAATACAACAAGTTATGATGTAGGAATTCTCATAAATAAATAAACATAAGTATGATGTATTAACTAGGTACTAGTAAAACAACGTCAAGTGCAGATTTATTATCGATATTTACGACTTATATGAAAAGTTATATCGTGTGTAAAGTTCTGCTGACTCAAGAGCACTATTTTAGTTCTAGAATATTCGTAGGGCACATCGAGATTTATGTCCGATGCTTACAGAGCGGTGCTTGTAAAAATAGTCTAGATATTGTATGCGCGACAAGGGAATTGTGAAGTAACAATCAGTTTTTTGAAGACAAGGATTGTGTTGATAGCTGAAAAGATTTCGAAATTTTCCAGTTGTCTGTACAATTTTGTTAAAAAATAAGGCGTTTTTATTTCGGAAAATGTTGAGTAATAGTGCAATCTTATTGTACTATAATCTCTGTAATAGCAGATCCAATAGTTTAAGTGTGGGAGAGACATGCTCCGGCAAGAATAGTCCGGCTCGACCGGAGTGATACCACGGCCTCACAGAAAACGACCTGAAACAATGCTTGCGTTGTGTTTCATGGTGTGAGTGAGTTTACAGGAGGCACAATTACCCTCATTCCTAATCTCCCAAATCCTTAAATTCTCAAAAATCCTCAAATTCCTAATCCCAAAAATACCGGTATCACGCTTGTAACGCTTCGGATGTCCATAGGCGATGCCGAATGCTTACCATCAGGTGATCTGTCTTTACCATCAGGTGATCTATCTGCTCGTTTACCGGTTTATATCCCATTAAAGAAATCCAATACACAATAGGTACCTAATTATTACGCCATGACTCGATGCAGTGGCGTAAATTTTTAATCTCAGTCCTCACCAAGTCATGAAACTTTTAGGACCTCATGTTTGACAGTCTTGGGGTTTTAAAACGATCATTATTAATCTAATAAAGCAGCCTTAATTATTCGCCTACATACTTTTCCTTTATATATTTTTTATTTATCACTTAATAATTGTAAAGTTGGTTAACCTATAATTGGCGACTGTATCAGCCCGATACCTATTGTTACCTTTATTATCTCTTAATACTATGTATACAGAAGCTGTTGGTTTACCCATTTAAATATATAAATTCATACAAAAGGGCTGGTGATACAATGATATCGAGATTTTCCTTTAAAAAGACCTTGTCACCCTTCCCGAACACATTCACAAATGTATTTGAATAGAAAGTGCAGCCAATAACAAGATGTCTCGCGTACCGTCGTTAGCCGGGCGTCGTTTGTCGTTCAATGGACTGGGTATCACGCCTCAATTGAGTAAACTGATACTTGCCTACCTTTGAGGCACTTGTGCAACTTATTGATAGAATTTTTGCTACAGAAATCGTGTCCTTTATTGTGTGAGCAGGTGGCCATGATGTTAGTGGTTCATGTAAGAATTTACATTGGCTGCCATAGTTTTGAATAGCACCTTTGTTCCTCTTATGCCCGTTTTCATCTAGATAGGTGACTTTTAATGATAGTTCCTCGACCTCTAAGAGACATCTTACAGTACAAGGTAAGGGATAAGTTTAGGTGTTACGTCACGCTAAGTATCTTTTAGTTAAGATAAGGTTTAGGCGTCGCTGATAAAACTGTCAAAGGTATCCCGTTTCATCTATCAAGGTCATCCCTTCTTCTTTGAAAAAATATAACATTAAATTTGGCGACAGTTTTGTTTTAGATAAAAATAGAAATTAGATAGTTTTTCGCAGTATCTAGTTATGAACAAGGACTAAAAACAAGCAACCTATTTACAGAAATGTAATAAATACTTAGGTACCTACCTAGGTACTTGTTTTTACATATTTTCCAAAAATAATTTTCCAACGAAAGGAAAAGTTGAAGTGCCTTGTTAGTTTCGAAAGCAATTAGGAAACATTCCTTTCATTTCTAATTTATGAAGCGGCTCCCTAATTAAATGAGACATGCTGATGACCTTTCATAATTTCTGAATGAGGAGAGACGACTAAAACCAGGAGCTATTTTAAGACAAAAATAATATAATTAACACGTTTTATGTCGTATTTAGAAGGACGTTTAAAAGAGATTTAAGCAAAAAATATTCTGTCAGAAAAAAGTATAGGTAGATTACAGTGACGGTAATATGCGACTAAGGAACCAAGGATTAACTTTTTACGTTTTGCTCCATTTCATTACCTATGTACCTACCATATATGCCACATAAGTCATTGAAACAAAATCTTCTTAAATATGACGTGACACAAACTAGTGTTGCGCTGTACATTCCGTATATTAGAAATTCATAGTATTATTTTTCTTGTAGTCTGTCAGATGCAGAGCAGCTGCCGAAGTGTGTGCACGTGTTTCGCATACGTCTCTCGTACGTCATCAACCTATGGAAGCTCTCATGCAATATAATAATTCAGGTAATTACAACAAAAACTATATTTATCAAACTTATTTATTAGAAACCAGATTTAATCTTCGCAAATTGGCCTTCTTCACCAATAACCAAACAGTTAGACAGTCATAATGTTTAGTCACAAAGTTCTAGTCTAGACAATAACTCGTAGTAATTCGTATAGTTCCCAACATCGTTACAATTAAGTGCTGTATCAAGTGGCTTTGCTTTGTAACGGAGCTATTAAGTCACGGAGATATTATCGTTATCGTTATTACTAGAGACAGATAACGGAGTTATTTTATTAGTCGTGAGATTATATCTAATGTTGTGTCAACTGCGGTTGTAAGTACTTATATTGGATTCTAAATAATCGGGCAACGTGGTCAGATTTATTTTTTGTTTCATATCGGGAGTATATGTCAGTTTCAGATTGTTCGATATTTCATTTGCAATTTTGTAAGTCCTTATTGTGAAATACCACTCATCAATACCAATGCCCAATTCCACGATCGTTTTTAGATCAAATCTAACAAACATTTTAAGTCCGATAGATAAGTTGCAAGTGTGACCAAACTTGACTTATGAAGCACTTTGAATAAACTGCGAAGGCAGTAAATGAAACTTTCTTAGTTTGTTTGATAACTAAAATAAATAAATAAGTAATAATAACTATCGTGAACAAATTATTAAAACTATTACTAGAGCTTTCCTCGA